ACAGGGTTTCTCTGTGTAGCTTTGCGCCTTTCCTGGGACTCACTTGGTAGCCCAGGCTGGCCTCGAACTCACAGAGATCCGCCTGGCTCTGCCTCCCGAGTGCTGGGATTAAAGGCGTGCGCCACCACCGCCGGCGATATTTTATTTGTATTAAAATGTTATTTGTATGTTAATAAATAAAGTTGCCCGGGGTCAGAGCTATTAGCAAGCCATAGGAAAGCAGGGCAGTGGTGGCGTATGCTTGTAATTCCAGCACTTGGTAGGCAGAGCTGCGTAAGTCTCTGTGTGTTCAGGGATACAGCCATTATTGGATACACATGCCTTTAATCTTAATACCAATCATGGAAAACCTGGAGGCCTATACAGACAGGCCATGAGGAGGCGGTCATGTGGTTGGGTTTACAACCAATGAGAAGGCAGGACAGGAACTCTATATAAAGACTTTAACACAGGGGTAGTTCTGGTTCAGAGAGGTAGGACCACCGCAGGAGGAAGGGTAAGGTTTTAGCTCTTAGCTCTGACCTCTTGGCTTTCTTCTTTGCATTGGTTCTGTGTTTCTTATTTAATAAGAAGGTTGGATACATCTACATTTGGCGCCCAATGTGGGGCTCGAACCCACGACCCTGAGATTAAGAGTCTCATGCTCTACCGACTGAGCTAAATTGTATGGTTTTTATTACTTGTTTATTTTGGTTTTTCAAAACAAGTACCATTTGGGCAAATAGAACTTCTGTAGTTGGGAAGGAAATTCACATCTGCCTTGGTTTTTTTATTTGAATTGCTATTGCTTTCCTCTTGTTAGTGTTAGCATTTGAAGGCTAGGTTAGCTGGCTGTTCTCCTAGACTGTGTGCAAGATTGTGGGGAAGCACTTACTTTGTTTTACTGAGGACTTCTTGAATTTCTGCCACAGTTGATGGCTCATGGATTTTCAGAGTGGCATCTGGAGTGCTTGGAATTTGATACTGGTGCCTTTGGGTATCGTTGGCCACATCATACACTCAGCAAATACTCACATCAGCTACTCAGTGATAGGGAACAGGAATTCAGATGAATGAATCAGTCTGTTTTAACTGATTGCAGACTCATTTACTAGAAACATTCTTGATAATTTGAAATTCCTTAGCATTACCATCGTGACATTATTTCTGGCTGTTAATTAATATTAATCAGGTTTCTGTTATTGTTATAAAAAAAACTAAGAATTATGTTTCTGGTGCCGTTGCTTTGAGATTCTAGTTAAGGAAACATCCAAGGCACAGCAAACTACTCGTCTTGTTTAATTGGAGGAAAAGGTCACACAGTTCCCTTGGGGACTTGCCTCCAGTAACCTAAAAATCTGTTTGCTACCCTAGGCCTTGAGTACATGGACCTTTGAGGGTTATTGAACATACAAACTGTAATAGAAACCAAAGTTCAGTGTGGTGCATACCCCTTTAATCCCTTCCCTTAGAAGGTAGAGGATCCCTTAAGTTAGAGGCCAGCCAAGATTACATTGTGAGACTGTCTCAAAAGTTCTTCAGAAAGAGTTTCTCAAAATCATTTCTATTCTGCTTACTCTCTATGCAGTTAAACTGGAAAAGTCCCCTTCAGATCCACAGTCTGATGTGGATTTCCTGTCAGTCGCCAACGTTGGCAGGAAAGGATATTCTTCTCCCTAGGCTGAAGTCACAGATCCGTTAGTGATAGGGTCTGCCTCATTCTCCACCTCCTGTCATTTCTGTGAAATGAATGATCCCTCAGATAACAGCCAGATGTTCCTTTGCCTTTTGAACAATAGGTACCTGCATCTTAGCATTTAGAAATTGCCATTCTGTGGGAAATTTTTGTGTATTTTTTTTTTATGTGTATGAATGTTTTGCCTGAATGTATGCCTGTGCACCATTCCTTCGGGGTGTAGAAGAAGGCATTGGGACCCCTGGAACTGAAGTTACAGTTGGTTGTGAGCCAAAGTATGGGTGCTGGGAATCGAACCTGAGTCCTCTACAAGAGTAGCAAATGCTCTAAGCTCCTGGGGCGTCGCCAGCTCTTTAGCGTAGAATATTTTAAAAAAAAATTTTTTTTAATTTTAATGTATAGTTTGTTTTCTGAGCCAATAACCACTTGGTTTATTACTAGTTCCAGGAGTAGGTAGTTGTTGAAATTTATGTGTCTCTATCATAGTCAATGCTATGTAGTTATACCCCAAGAATTTACCTTACTATACTTTGTCGGGGCGGGGATGGGGAGGTACTTTCCAGATCTCCTCTTAGCAAAGGTTCTACTCTCTTGGTCTTTATTATGCTTCTCCTGTTTTATTTTGTTTTTAACTGCTTTTATAACTGTAGTGAAGTAATGAAGATTCTATGTAGCCCATTCATTTTCAGAATTCTCTTTGTGTTGTGCCCCAAAGTCTTTTACTGCCCCATAAATAAGATAACATGACTCCTAGCCACACAGAGAGTTGATGCTGGACTTAGCAAGCACTCAAATTAGTGGCCAAGCCAAAAGAGGCCATGCATGCAGTGTGCTTGGCCTGCTCTCTTAACTCTTTTAAAGCTGTAGTATCACTTGGTGTTTTTTTTTCCTTTACCTCCACTGTGTATATACTAATACCAAAGTCCAAGGTCACATTCTTTTTTGTTTGCAAAATAAATACAATGAATAATTATTTAAAACTTTTAATATTGGCTGGTCCTGTGGTGCTGAGTTCTGAGAACTTTCACATCAGTGTCACAGAAGGTGATGCTCAGTGTATCCAATTGCTACACTGGTCTACGGAGAGGAGAATGAGATCAGTGCAGGAGATGCGCAGCCCAATGACAAAGCATGTGTTTAAACGTGCACTTCTCTGGTTCCATCCCCAGCACCGAAGAAAGGGAAAGCTTTCCCATCAGTCTTCCTTTTAGCTCAGCCCCAGTGTGTACTTCAGGCTATAATAATGCATCCCTTTCTCTGCCTGCCCAACCCCAGGAAGTAGAGACTGTTCCCAAAATGAATTTGCTTTAACATGACCATTTATAACAATCTCTTCTACAGATAATATCACCTACTGCATTGTTTTTGGCTGCAAAAGTGGAAGAACAGGCTCGAAAGCTTGAACATGTTATCAAAGTAGCACACGCTTGTCTTCACCCCCTAGAGCCTCTGCTGGATACAAAATGTGATGTATGTAAAAAGGGGGGTGCTTTTGTTGTCTTCATTTTCTTTATAAATTTGACGCCAGGAACCGTCTGACAGGAAAACTTTTTGTATGCTTCATGAACTCGTATGTCATCCTGAATTATATAAGATTTTGAATCATGCTGCTTGATTCACAGTTATTTTGAAGTGTTGGTGAATGACTGTCTTAGGGTCTCTAGTGCTGTGAAGAGACACTATGACCATGGCAACTCTTACAAAGAAAACATTTAATTTACAAAGAAAGCTTACAGTTTCAGAGGTTGAGTTTGTTATCATCATGGCAGGACATAGCTTCGTGCAGGCAGACATGGTGCTGGAGAAGGGGCCAAGTGTCCTACATCTTGATCCACAGCAGCAGAAATAAAAACTCTATTTGGGCATAGCTTGAACATATATGAGACCTCAAAGCCCACCCCCACAGTTACACATTTCCTCCACCAAGACCACACTCCCTAATAGTGCCACTCCCTACGGGCCAAGCATTCAAACACATGAGTCTATGGGGTCATTCCTATTCAAACCACCACAGTGACTTATCCTCACAGCGCACCTGCAGTAGAAAGGGTAGGTCCTGTGTGACCTGTTGGTAGATGTGCCTAAGACCAGAAGTTGAATAACTCCTATGAAACTGTTAGTAGAGGAAGGAATAGAGACTCCAGTGTACTCTAGATTGGTTATACTTCTCAAATTCTGACATCCTAAAATGAGAGCTGCAAGTGTGGGCCATTGCAGTTATTTTTCTAGCATTATGGGCAAGTCATTCAATCAGGAGTCTTCATCCACTTAATGACTACCAAGTTATGTTAGTTCCGTTTGATTTAGGTCATGTTTAAAGTCCTAAGCTTAGGCTCTAATAGAAGATTGATACATTGGTGCTACGTTTTAAATGAACAAAATGCCATTGTGTACATTGAATAATAAGCGATTTGTAATTGTTTAACAATGGTTCTCATTTACTCACTTACTCTAGTGTGTACATGCTAATGTTTTAAAAATCAGATCAGTGACATTAAAGGTAATTTCACTCTCTGGGTTTAGTGTGTTCTCAGAAAAAGCATGCATGTGTGTGTACATGAATTTAGAGCAGATGTACACCAGGGTCCAGCTCTGTATGTAGACTAGGCTAGCCTCAAACTGAGTTATTCTGCCTCAGCCTCCTAAGGGTGTAGCTACCATGCCATCTTAAATGTGATATATTGCTTCCTTCTCACCTGGGTCAGTTGTTAGGGTCCATAAGACTGGGGTGGCAAGAAAACTTCTATGTTCTTTCTTCCAAGAGCTTTATGAAAGGGAGATTGGTCCTTGAATTTTAAGGGGAAGATTCTGTGATAATTTGTATCTCTGTGGTAAATGATCTAGGGACTTAAGATTTGCCTTTTTAGGGAAGTTAATTTTAAAAATAACTCACAGACACAAGTTGGTAAGTTTTCTCTCAAAAGGCAGATTTAAGTGCTCTTCCTCAGCTTGACGCTCCTGTACTTGGTGTCTAGAAGCACCAGGGTCTGTGAACTTGTACTGTGCAGACTGTGGGTCTTTATTCAGTTAACCTACCCTGCTTCATGACACTCTGTTTTATTTGTTCCTTTGCCTTTGTTTACTGTCTATTAAAAGTGGTTCCATTTAGACTTGTCCCAAGAGCGGTCTATTCCCTCAGTTTCTTTGCCTCATATTTGCAAGCAACTGCTGTACTGTAATCCTCATGAGATCTAACGGTCCAGGACTCTAGTGGTGTTGTGTTTATTCTAAACATCTAATATCATTTTTGTCTGACAGGCTTATCTTCAGCAGACTCAAGAACTGGTTTTACTTGAAACCATAATGCTACAAACACTGGGTATGTGCTCATATTGTTTTGTGTTCACTAATACAATATTCTAAACACAATTTCTAGAATAGCTTCTTAGTGAAGAAAGTTGTTTAAAACTAGTTTTGGGCCAGGTGGTGGTAGTGCATACCTTTCATCTCAGTACTCAGAGGCAAAGGCAGGTGGATCTCCATGAGTTCCAGGATAGCCAGGGCTACACAGAAACCCTTTCTCAAAAAAAAAAAACAAAAAAAAAAAAGAAAAAGAAAACCAAGAATGTTAGACTTAATCCAAAGTTAGGTGGTTCTTAGAGAGGAACCTAGCAGGCTGAGGTCAGATAAATACAAGCTGTGGGGAAATCCAAATTTAAATCTATAAGCTTCTGACCACCGTTGTAAGCTTGGGGTAGTTTTCTTCCCTTTTACATTTCCATCCCGAACATATGGAAGAAAGACTGCAAACTTTTTGTTTCTATTTCACTGTTATTCCATTTTCAAATGTTGAATAGAAATATAAGTATAAACAGTAATGGTAGTACATGGCGTTAATCCCAGCCCTCAGGAGGCAGAGGCAAGCAGCTCTCTGTGAGTTTGACGGCTTCCAGGACTACGCAGTAACTCTGTCAAACAAAGAAAAAAGGAAGTAGAAGTACAGCTACATGTGCTGGCAGATTTTTATTATAAAAGTAGCTTATTTAAAGCACGAGAATTAAGTTTTATTAGAAGATAAAAAAAAAGTGAGTGTATTGCCTCTGCATCCAATTATTTGACATATTGTCTTGATTACAAAATGTATGAGTTATATTTATTTGCTATTAATATGTTACTTATTTTTATGGTATGAAGGCATTACATAGGAACTGAAGGTAGGGGTCAGGTAGAAGAACTCTCAACTTTGTGTTCGTGAGGCTGTGTTCCATCCCCAGTGCCACTAACAAAAATAGTCCCTGCGTAATGTGCATGTTTAGTGACACATTCTTAAACATAGAGAATGAATGCATACTGTTTAAGTGTACATTAAAACCACATCTCTTTATTTGAAATGTTATTTTGCTAGTTAATTACAGGAGAGATATAAATAAAATACACCTTTATAAATCCTGATTACTCATTTGTTAGCGTTCTAAAGATTCTAGATAATAAAAACAAAAATCCTGCCACATGGAAGAGCTGATTGAATATTCATTGAAAGCTTGCCAGCATTTTTCCTTGAATTTCTGAAGCTCTCTTTGGAAATGTCTGCCTGTGTAGCTCACTGTCCGAGTGGTTCTAGTTCGGAGATGGAGCTGTGCTCCTGTGATTTACCAGGAAAGTGAAGAGAGCTGCTCTATGTTAAGTTCTTTGATGCTGCTGTGGGCAGCAGGTATGTTGAGGAGAAATGTTTTTCCCACATCTTTTGAAACAAAGATTTTTAGTATTAAAAAGAGAATATGTAAGCTACAACCATGATAATAACTATTTGATGATTTGAACATAAGCTTGGGTGAATTAAAATTAAAATTCTAAATTTCAGATCAGGTTGGCTTTGATGTTTAAATAATTGTCTGTTTTCCTATTAAGACATAAGAAATTAGTTATCCTTTATTCTGGAGGGTAATGGACATGTCAGCAATGAGAAGCTTTAATGTTGGCTTTGGATTTCTCTTTGATACTGAAGAGTGTATTAGACATGATCGTATGGTGAGCTGCATTGCCCAGGCAAGTATTGTAATGGTAAGTAGTTGGGAAAAAAAGTGCTTCTCATTTCAGGTTTTGAGATCACCATTGAACACCCACACACAGATGTAGTGAAATGCACCCAGTTAGTAAGAGGTGAGTGGTCCCTCAGCCACCTGGGATGAATGTTGATGGGTTTTCCCCTCTAGGATTGGTATGGATGGCAATGTATTCTTCTAGTCTTTGGGTTTTATTAAGAAGGGCAAATATAAGCTGGGCAGTTGTGGCACACTTCTTTAATCCCAGCACCTAGGAGGTAGAGACAGGTGGATCTCTGTCAGTTTGAGGCCAGCCTGGTCTACAAAGTGAGTTCCAGGATAGCCAGGGCTACACAGAGAAACCTTGTCTCAAAAAGTGGGAGGAAGGGGCAAATGTCATTTTGAAATAGTATTCATCTGCTTCTGTATGCGCTTCTCCAAGTGCATTTGGTTGCTTCTGTGTGATAATGGAGAAAACTAACAAAGCATATCATACACCACTGTGGTTCCTATGAAGCCACATGTGAGCAACAGCCCTTTGCATTTGCTGTGGCTCTAGAACTCTTCCCACAGGTTGCCAGTGTTGCCCTGGTTCCCGTTTGGGTTGTTTGTGGGCACATCACAGCCTCTAGGGACCACTCCTGTCCTTTTTCTCTTTTTGAAAATAAGATCCTGTGGTTTCAGTCTCTTACTTGCAGGACTTTTAAGGTTTGTTTGTAAACAAAATGGATAATACTTTTAAAGACCTTGGGGTTTTTGTTTTGGAAAGTGTGCGTGCGTGCGTGTGTGCGTGCATTAGTATTTAGCTCAATAGTCTCATTCATTTTAAATTGAATTCATTTTATATCTAGATAGCATTTTATTTTACTAATGGTAGCATTGGAAAACAAGCCTAGAGTCTTCATAACCAGCACCCTTGCTAAGAGTTCTAAGACTCATATTTAATCCTAGGATCACACATTATCAGTCAATCACTTGTAAACCACAATATTTTAATTATGCTTTCTGTTCTTCACAATCATACAAATATATTTTGTAGCACATTCTCTTCCCTAGTTACAGGATAGTACAGAATTAAATAGCTAACTTAACTAGTTGTAGATGTTGAGTTAAGAAAAGCTTATAGGTTGATCTCCCTGAAAACTTGAAAGAATGAACTCGTCTTTGCAAGGTAGCACACCATGTAATTTGCTCTAAGTCAAGAGCCTAATGAAGAAAGATATTTGTGTGTGTTTAGCAAAGGTGTATGTATTGCCTTAGGAAATAAGCTGTATTTTAAATTAACACTTCACCAAAACTACACATTTGATGTTCTGCTAAAGTCTATCTAGCCTGAACCCTGAATAGAATACAAAGTGTGTGTGTGTGTGTGTGTGTGTGTGTGTGTGTGTGTGTGTGCGCGCGCGTGCGCGCACACGCGCGCGCGCTGTGCTCATGGGTTGGTACAGGGGTCGGGGAGGGCTCTGTCTGACTCAGCTTTGAGGTAGCTGAGCTTATTCCCTTTAAAGATGTTCTTTCATCTTTAGTGTCTTTGTTTCTTTTGTTCTGTTATGACTTTGAACTAACAAGAACAGTTGCCCTTCATTCCTGTTTATTGAATTTAGGAGATGTGATGCCACAATTGAATGTTTTTATTGTTTTATGGGGTGCTTGTTTGTTTGGTGGTGGGTAGATGTGATTCATGTAAAGCCCTCACCTCCCGCTCCAGAGGAGACAGTTGCTACTTTGCTGCAGAATTAGCTGTTGTCATTTTACAGGGACCTTTCACTCTGATCTCTCCTTCCCTCCCCACCAGGAAAGAATGCCATACTTAAGTCACACTGCCTCAAGACCTCTGGTGCTCTGACAGTCTTCCTTAGCACAGCTCTGCCAGACCCAGTCCCTTTTGTTAAACCTTCCCTTGATGATCACATGGGGCAGCGGGGATTACAGGTGCCAAGAGTGAAAACCAGGAGGGGAAGGAGTCTGGGGACTAGAGAGGGTGGGGTTCGGGGCTGCCACGCTAGGTGAACAGTGATTTTTGAACAGAAGGGGTGGGGGTGCAGCTGGTGGGGTCCTTCCTTTTGGGGAGAATATGGGGTAGGAGAAGGGAAGGAAAACTATTTAATGTCTTAAGAAACTAGTTAAAAATTCCTTTCCTGTTGGAGACCAGTGTAGGAAGCATCCTTCTTCCCCCTAGAATACTCCTCTTTCTAGGTATTGTCTGTAGTTGGAGTTTGTAAATTAAACAAGTGTAGTGGGGCTGCCTACATTCTGTTCATGTGTAAACAGCATGGTAAAGAACTGCGGTTGGTGCTCTGAGTGGGGGGTGGGGGTTGCTTTGTTCCATTTTAAAGGAAATTTAAGCCAGCCTAAATATGATGACAGGATTAAGTTTGGCAGGCAACTCTTTGTATTTTGTATTAGACTTCAAAAATCTTTTCTTCTTCTTCTTTTTGTTTTTGTTTTTTTTTTTTTTTTAAATCCAGGAGAATGCTTTATTTCAACTTTTAGCTGACTAGATGCTTAACTTAGTAACAAGTTTAGCCTAGCTAAAAGCAAATCGGCTTGTTTCTCAGATCTATGGGGGATAGCAAGAAACATTTGAGTGAATGTTGTTGAAGATTGTCAGTAGTATAGAAAATGATGGCGCTCTTGTGATATTTGTAAGTAGTAAGTAAAATTTACTTTTTGTGTACAAATCTTTGATGTCTTGTTGTATTGAGAGTTGGGTGGTGTTTACACGCTGAAGCTGATGACGTTGTCTTCGCTCTTCTTTCTTTTCTTACAGCAAGCAAGGATTTGGCACAGACATCCTATTTCATGGCTACCAACAGGTTGTTATCCTGACCCTCTTTGTTGCACTGTTGTAGCACACTATAGCTTCCTTTAATGCAGGGCCCCCTCAACGTGTCTCTTGCCCTTGTTGCAACAGGAGACTGGACCATCTACTGTGGTGGTACCTTCCTGGTTGCTTTGCGGTGTATTGTACAAGGGACTTTGGGCACAGAGGGGTTAAATGCACACTGTGAAGTGTAGTGGTGCTTTCTGGTGGCATATTCTCGATTTGTGAGTGCATAAGTCTAAACTTGGTAGCCTGAATAGCAGCTAAAGATTACACAGAGCTAAACTTAACCTAGAAACTTGGTAAGTATAAAGCTATTTCTAGTTTACAATTATAGTTAAATGACATTTCTTTTTTAATTTTCATATTGATCCAGTCTTTTAAAATAATTGCTAAAGTTTCTTAAGTAAAATTTATGTGATTTGGGACTTGTTCCAGATAATATTCCAAATAGCAAATTAGAAATAGTCAAGCTTGCAGAGATACAATCTATTTTTTTTTAAGTCCCGCTTTTCCATTTATAGAAAGTAAAAATGTAGTATGTGTTTGTGGCTCTTCAGTAATTGTTTAATCTATTCTAAATAGAAGAATAGTTTGAAGGAGGCTCTAAAATTGAATGTATAATTCTGTTCTGGATTGGTATTAAATGTTGAAAGTTTTTTAATTGGGCACTGTGGAAATGGGAACCAAACTACCCTTTTGGATTAGCAAAACTTAATTTGCTGGGCATGGTGGCATGTCCCTGTCATCCCAGCCCTGGAAGATGGAGATAAAAAGATCAGGATTTCAGGGTTGTCCTTGACTACATAGAGAGTTTGAGGCCAGTCTGGGCTATATGAGACCCTGTCTCAAAAAACTTGGTTTAAAAGCCGGGCGGTGGTGGCGCACGCCTTTAATCCCAGCACTCGGGAGGCAGAGCCAGGTGGATCTCTGTGAGTTCGAGGCCAGCCTGGGCTACAGAGCGAGATCCAGGAAAGGCGCAAAGCTACACAGAGAAACCCTGTCTCGAAAAACCAAAAAAAAAAATCAAAAAAAAAAACTTGGTTTAAAAAGCTAGCCTGTGAAATGTCATGTGCCCAATTTTTGGTACATAATGAAAAGGAAAGATAATATTTACTAGTATTGGCCTATTTTGAGCCTTGGAATTTTATGGCCAAAGGTAAGTTCTCTTTGAGGCTTTGCTGGCACAGACACAGAGTTTTACATGAACTGAAAGCTCTGACTTACTAAGAAGTATTTTTGCTGTTAAGCCACATCAAATGGTCTGATCTTTGATTGTGCTGTGAAAATTGCTTTGTTTTATAACGTCTTTATATTTTTGCTATAACGTTAAAAAAAAAGAACCAAGACTACCTACCACAAAAAAAGGTTTAAAAGGTTATATTTTGTATATGATGATTATTGTAAATATAGTTTTTCCTTTGTATAATACTTTGTTAGGTTTTAAAACAAAAAATTTTATTAATATTAATCATGTAAATAAAATATTACTATGCTGTGGAGGGGTGAGAATGAGGGAAGTGTCTCATCTATGTAAAGGGGTTTTTATTATAATTTTCAGTATTTTTAGCTCTGAATTTAATAGAATATCATTATGTAAAGAAAAGCACTTCTCATTTTATGTTTGCTTTCGTCTTACTGGCAATGTTTTCTTTGTCTTACATATTTTGAATTGTTGTGGCCCTCCACTTTTAAACCTGCTCTACACCAGTTTGCATCTTACGACCTTCTGTCTCCAGTACAAACCCACGGTCATAGCATGTGTGTGCATTCATTTGGCTTGCAAATGGTCCAATTGGGAGATCCCTGTGTCAACGGATGGAAAGCACTGGTGGGAATATGTGGACCCTACAGTTACCCTAGAGCTGCTAGATGGTAAGCAGAGGGAAGAGGTCCTTTCCTATGTAAAGAATATACTGTAAGCTTTTTCTGTATATGCACTACCTACCTGAAGCATTACCAGTGCTGGTCAGGCCACAGGTACACCACAGTCGCTCCAGTGTTAATCCCAGGTGTCCTTTAATTCATTAGTATTCAGATTTCAGAAGGTAACATCTCTTTAAAAGCTTGGATTTAATTCCTTTTTAGTAATTTGGTGGAAGAACTTGGAAGTACAGTTAGGAGTACATTGAAATAAGGAACCTATGAACCACATCAACCATCAAATGTTTACTAACCACCAGTTCACAGAAAACCCTTTTAGGGTTTCTCAGTAAATAGAACTTTTAAATTGTATTATCTTAACGTTTGTGTACAAAGTAATGTAATGAATGAGTTTCATTATGGCATTTTCACAAAAGAGGAGTCACTGTATTTTGTTCTAATCTGTCCCCTTATTTCACTAAATACTGGAGGTTGATGGAACACGAATAAACTAGACTGGGTGTAGGGGCACATACTGTTAATCTCAGTAATTGGGAGATAGAGGTAGATAGATCCAGGGTTCAAGGCCATCCAGGAGGAATACACAGTGAGACCCTGTCTCACAGAAGTAAAAAACAAAGAATAAGCTGGAGATACTACATACAGTTCGTTTTGTTTGTTAGATAAGAGGTGTTAAAGGATACTGATTTTGTTGAGTTGGAAGCGTGTCAACTAGGACTAGGGTATAGTTAGGTAATAAATGTGTCCTTGGAATCTATAAGGTCCTGGGCTCAATCGCAAGCACTTTGAGAAGTGTAAGCTCAAAGCTGGGTACTAATTCCTGTATAAACTGAAACATTAGGCCAAGGGGCTTTTCCCTTACGATGTTCTCTTACATTATTAGTTAGGAATAAATAGTACAAGTCCTGCCAGTTGTGAACCTGAGATTGGAGGGTCTCTGGTAGGAAACAGTAGTCACTGATTTAAAAATGAGACAGATTGTTGAGATGAGTGATTAGCACTCTCCAGCAGGTGCTAGATTTCGAAAGAGAGTAGACAACAAACTGAAGCAGGCGTCAGGTTTTCGGCATCCTCTTTTTAGACTCCCAGTCTCTATTTACAAGGGAAAGGTTGGTGGGGAGCCAGGCTTCACCTGGTTACTATTAAAAACACTAATTTACTATGGAAAGTACAGAGCCCTGAGTTCTAGAGTCTGTGGGGCAGTGGGGTTTCTGTTATGAATAGAGCTCCACATCAGCTGAGAAAGAGCCGGTAGTGGGGCTGCAGGTCACATCTGCCTAACTGGCTACAGTTGGCCTGACCCACATATAAAACATGAATCTTTTTATTTCTCCTCTTGGGAGTGGGGGGAATATATATATATATATTTTTGTGTTCCTGTCACCTGTCATGCTCTAACAAGCTGAGCTAACAGCTGAAGATGCTGTTTTTAAATGGTTGGTTTTATTCAGTTTATTTGGAGGAAAGCAAATCTAACAACCAGTAGAGGCCTTTTCATTGGCTCCCTTTGCCCTGTCCTTGAAAAGTCCAGTTACTGTGTCATCACTGTCTGACCTCAACTGTCAGGAGCAGTGAGTCATCTGCCATATGGACACTTATCTTACATCATTGACCTCAGAGCCACCTGGGTTTTCCTCCACTTCTAGTCTGTATAGGCTCAAGTTCAGTATTGATTTGGAAGTTGAAACTCAGTATATTAAAATAGTACCATAATTTCTGTTTTGATCAAGTTGTCTTGAATTGTCTGTACTATTTCTACTATTATTACTTCCTTAAGCTACATATTTAGTAACTGCCCCCAAACAGCATTGGCTCAGATTTAGCCTAATTATAAGATTCTCTGCATGTGAGTATGGGTATGTGTGTAAAGTGGTTTGTGTCTCATTCTGTCTGTAGATTAGCTCTAAGGAAGAAAGATCTCAGTAAAGAAGTCCCTAGGAGTTGGATCCAGGAGAGTCAATTTGAGGCCATACTCCCAGGCCAGCCTAAGCTATACATGAGTCCCTGTTGATGGATGGATGGAAAGATGGAGAGAGAGATAGGAGAAAGGCCACTATTTTAGACCTCATACTCTATAGTGCATGAACTTATTTGTTTACATTAACAGATTATTACAAAATTTGACAGAATAAGATGCTTGGGAAAGGCAAAGTTTGCATTTTTGTCTGCTATGTGCAGACAAAATTTGTGCAGGAAATTTGAAGCAGAACATCCTCATTCACCCTGGACCCAAAAGTAAATGGAGTTCCCAGCACTGGATATTTTATTTTATCCAGACTTGCTCAAAAAGCTCCTGAGATTAAAAAGGAAACAGTCTTGGAATTACTGAGGAAGTTCCATCTGAAATTGATGGTTGATGTAGAGTTTAGTTGATGAATGCTCTTTAGCATAATTTTTATAGACTGATCTTGGTGACGGTGGTGTAATACAGTCGTAATTGTCTGGGGTGCTGGGCATTGAACCCAGAGTCTCCTATGTGCTAGGCAAGTACCACTGAGCTGCACCTCATCCCTTCACAATCTGAGTTTGGTTAGTTGTCATGCTATGACAACCTTTAGGTAGTTTTTCATCATTGAGATTGAGTGTTCTTGTCAAGGATGCTGCACAAGTCAGTTGTGCCTTGGGTGCCTTGCTTGCCTCTCAAAGCATGGGACAGTGTTGACTCAATGTATCTTACCACCATGCTGGTCACGTGGTATAACAGTGGTGTTATTGAATTCTTCATTGTGAAGCTATTCTTTCTCTTTATAATGAGATGAGCTCTTAAGACCCCTTTTAAATATTGCCCACTTGAGAGAAGTTCAGATCCTAAAGGCACCGTCTAAGCTTTAAATTTAAATTTTATTTTTAGAGCTAACACATGAGTTTCTACAAATATTGGAGAAAACGCCTAGTAGGTTGAAGAGGATTCGAAACTGGAGGGTAAGAGAATTGGCAGGATTTAACAAAATGTATCAGTTTGTCACTCCTCTAGCAATTGCCTAGCAAACAGTTTGAAATGGAATGATTCAGTACTGCGCTTTGCAGTATTCCCTACGGTATACCACACTTGGACTGCAGGTACTCATACTTGCCCAGCTCCTATGTCCAGTGGACTCCGTGTCATATCTTTTTTATTATTATTATTATTATTATCAGTCATGGGGAAACTCCCTCAGCTTTACAAGTGAGGCTAAAGCCTACACAAGTTACTATCTCAAGTGCTGGCTTAGGATGTAATTGTATCTAATTCTCAGAACTTCGAGGCTTCTGTGACATTCATCGTTGCCTTAGACCTTTGAGCCTAGTGGTTTTGTTTCTGTGTACTTGCTCTAGTCTTACAAGCAAAGACTTGTATTAACCCCTGCTGTCATTGTCTTCTGTTTCTCATTTAACTAGGCTATGGCTAAGAAACCAAAAGTAGATGGACCAGCATCAGAGACACCACTGCTCGGTCCATCTCTGGTCCAGAATTCCCTGTTAGTAGATAGTGTCACTGGTGGGCCTGCCAACCCAAGTTTCCAGAAACCTTCAACATCAACCTTCCCTGCTCCAGTACCTCTAAGTTCAGGAAGTACTTGTGTTCAGGACAGCCGTGCATCGGATAGTTTGTCAGTACTGGCAGCAGGAATGCCCAGTACCTCATACAGTTTGTCCTCATCACACCAAGAATGGCCTCAGCATCCAGATTCAGCCAGGACAGACCCTGTATACACTCAGAAACAGGAGGCCACTCTCTCTGGGAGCCAGTACCTCAGCTTCCAGCAGGGACCTTCAATGACACTGCATTCAGGATTGCATCACAGGCCGGACAAAGTTGCTGAACATCCATCGGCTAAGCAAGAATATGCTCACAAATCCGGGAGCAGCAAGCACCATGGGCCCGTTCCTGCTGCTCCTGGAGTGGCTCCTCAGAAAATGTCTTTAGATAAGTACAGAGAAAAGCGGAAGCTGGAAACCCTTGACCTGGACACAAGGGATCATTACATAGCTGCCCATGCAGAGCAGCAGCACAAACATGGGCCAGCCCAGGCAGTCGCAGGCAGCTCTGTCACTTCTCCCATTAAAATGAAACTTCCCGTCGCCAACTCCGACAAACCTGAGAGAAGCATGGCCGAGAAAAAGGAAAAGAGTGGATCGCTGAAGTTACGGCTTCCCATCCCACCGCCTGATAAAGGTCCCAGTAAAGAAGAGCTGAAGATGAAGATCAAAGTGTCGTCCTCGGAAAGACACAGCTCTTCTGATGAAGGCAGCGGGAAGAGCAAGCACTCGAGCCCACACATCAGCAGAGACCACAAGGAGAAGCACAAGGAGCACCTTGCCAATCGCCACCACAGCAGCCACAAGCATTTGCACATGCACAGCGGAGGAGGAGGTGGAGGAGGAGGCAGCGGCGGCAGCAGCGGCAGTGTTAAGCATGCTGCTGATGGGATGCCACCCACTGTGCTGAGGAGTCCTGTAGGCCTGGGCTCAGAAGGCATCTCCTCCAGCTCCAGTGCAAGGAAGAAGCTGCATGTCAACGATGCCTCCCACAACCACCACTCCAAAATGAGCAAAAGTTCCAAAAGTTCAGGTAGTTCATCTAGTTCTTCCTCTGTTAAGCAGTATCTATCCTCTCACAGCTCTGTTTTTAACCATCCCTTACCCCCTCCTCCCCCTGTCACATACCAGGTGGGCTACGGACATCTCAGCACCCTCGTGAAACTGGACAAGAAACCAGTGGAGCCCCACGGTCCTGAGGCCAATCACGAGTACAGTACAAGCAGCCAGCATTTGGACTACAAAGACACATTCGACATGCTGGACTCGCTGCTAAGTGCCCAAGGAATGAATATGTAATCACTTGTTTAGGTCAACTCTTCCTTTCTTTTGAATTAAAAAATGGTTGGAATGGAAGCTTCCTCCTGATCCAGCAGTGGGGCCACTGCTTCTGTATTTGTAAGTGCTGCTTTATTCTTCCCTCTGAAAAGAAGAGATGATAGGAAACAAGTCTGTCTCCACACACGATAGTGTTACCAGTCCTGTAAACGCATGGAAGATGCAGCTAAGAACATTAGGATGAATGGCTGGCTGCTGCTAGGATTCTAAGCTGCCTCAAGCTTTTGTTATTTATGATTTGAATACTGTAGCTGTTTTTTTTGTTGTTGCTTGGCTTTGAATGAGTGTCAACTGTTTTCTTTTGTGTATTTATACTTGTATGTATGGTTTGCATGTCTCAGTGATAAAGGGATAAAACAGTATACTGACAACTGTTTACAAGAAAGTGGAGAAAAAATGTACATACATTTTTGTATGTTTAGATATTACCATAAATACTCAGGATCGGAGCTGCTTGTAAGTATAACAATATACAGAATAACTTTATTTTCTCTCGTCAGAGTCCATCACTAATCTAAAACACAAGTGGCACTTTTTTATGTTAACCTTAAACTCTAGGCCTTACTGGAAGCCGCTGAGGGGACACTTCACTACTAGGCGGGGATGCGGTGCCACAGGTGGCCCTTAACACTGGGAAGTGCTCAGTTTGCCTTCAGAGGTTCTGACCAGATTGGCTGCAGAATCAGCCCCTGATTTCTGAAGGCTGAAGAGGAAAAAAATAAATAAATAAAGTTTACATACACTTGATGTGAAGTGCATTTAAATGTTTGTTGGCTTGTGCAGTGCTGGAGAAGAGCAGTTAATAATGTGGTTGAGGATGACTGTGACTTAGCTCACAGGAACTCCCAGTGAAGAATTTGTCTATTTCTTCAAGAACTTTGACACTACCGATTTTAGCAGTGAACAGGGATCTCTTTTCCTTTAACATTTGCAGTGACACCATAGTCTTGAATATACTCTTCCCATGGAGAGAAAGTGAATGAGTATGTGAAAGCGAGAGAGATACCGTATTTCTTTTTCAGGTAAATGCAGTCTTCCTTATACAAATGAAATGAAACCTCTGCTCTCTTGATTCTTTTATATTCTAACAATAAATAAAAAGAAAACATTGCTGACTGTGCATTGTACCTGTATTTATAGCTTATGGTCATTATCAGGAAAATATAAGGAAAAAGGCCAGCCTCAGGCAAGCCCCTGCTGGAGGTTTTACATTCGTTTGCACATCTCAGTAGGTTCTTTCTCATCGAGGTGATGCTTGCACTGTCACCTGACGCCTCGTCAGGGGATAGATGGACTTGTCTACATTTTGGTGTAAGCACCAATAGTATGGCTCTTGTCTCTTGCCTAATCTTGAATTTATTTCTGTGGTAAGTCTTAGCTGTTGAGTCTCTTAAGATGGGTCGGATTCAACTTGTATTGAATCATAGTTTTCCTCTGTATATGAACTGTTTTGTTATAAAGCCACTGATCTGTGCACAATTGTAATTTTATTCAAGTATGTTGTGGTTGTAAATATTAGAGTTGAGCCTTGTACTCTACTTTTATTTAGCAATTACCTAATTTGCCAGTAGCTGTTTGTTTGTTTGTTTGTTTTTTAAAGAAATTGTTGATTATTTTGTCAATGTTATTTGAACTTGGGATGTCAGAAGCCTCTTTGTGGGAACTCAGCCTAGCAGGCTCATCCTCGCTCTGTTTTTGTCTTGCATCAGTAATCTGTTACTATGTGATTTTGTTGTTGTGTGGTATACTATTGTATCATAAACATGGTGATTCTGATGCAGCTACAGTTTTACTGTGGAACATATTCAGAGACTAGCATAGAATTAAACAGTGTGAGGCGAGGGAGGGAAGGGTTTTGTTCTTGGTGATTTAGATGTGAAACCTCGACAGAGCATCATGTGAACTGACATGGGGTGGTCATGCTACTGTATCATTGGGAGTGATGCCAGGAATTTTAATCAGCTTTTGTAAAGAGTATCCAGAAAAGTAGTGAACTTATTTTCAGTATGACATAGAAAACAATGTGAATATTTAAGGTCTGGGACTATATAGTTAAACTTCACTAAGGACTTTCAGAAATGTGTTGGGGTTTTTGTTTTTGTTTTTTTAAGATATGGGAATAAAGGTAATTTTGTTGAATCTTATTGGTGCTAATGACGGACAGTTAAACAGATAGTGTATATGCTGTGGATCAGTACACTTAGTACTTCCAGAATTGACTTTGAAATGCTATGTATTCACTTTTCACTCTGTAAATGTAATTCTTTACAATGACTATTTATTAAAAGGCAGTCAGTCATGATTTTTACAGGATTGTGTGAACTATTCAAACTCTGCAACCTCTGACCAAGATGCTAAAACCACAATGGGGGATAGTGCGTGAATCCTCTTACGTTCCCTTTCCACTAAGGAAAACCCTCATAATTCATATCACCATGAGTTTGCTTGAACCATCTTGTTTGCATAAAATAGTTCATCTGCATGGTCCCATTAGACTCTACCAAAGAAAAAAGACTCAATGAATGGACATTCTATTGTGAGTCTTGTAAGTAGCCATAAATAACCAAAATAGTATCAAACTTAGGTGTGAATTTCACATGTGCGAAGTACTGTTAAGGTGATACATTTTTGATGAGTTTTTTTTTTTAATACTTGAAAATATTAAAAAGCATTCTCTTTAAATTGTCCTATAAAAGAGTGATTCATTCTTAAGGTGTGTTTCCCTAGGTTCGTGACCTTTTAACAAAAGCACATTGTAATCAGAGGCTTCCTGTCTACCTCTCAGCTAATTTTCCAAAATCAATATGTGCTTCCTAAATATTTGCCTTAGCTACTAACACGTGCTGTTTTCAGGACCAAAGCAAAGGAGTGTGTGTTTGTAGAGGTCTTCTTGGAGACCTGCATTACAGACTCAGCAGCAGTGCCCACTGGTGGAGAAGGCCTTGCATGTCTCCTAGCAGCAGATTTTATCGATGAAGGGTGATGGTGCCAGTCCTGGCTACCCTTAAAAGCAGTGCGTGTGCATCCCAGTCTTTCCTGGTATTGAGAATATTCAGCCTTCTAAGATGTCTTCCATGATACATCATGAGTACATACTTTGTGCCAACACATAGTAGTTATACTGAACTCCCAAACTTTTGGACCTATTTATCCCCTTTGAACTAAAAATAGGACTAGTTAAGATTTACTTTAGAGAACCAGTTTGAAATGTTTTCATTAGTTACAAATACCTTGCCTTTAGAGGTTTCAAAAAGTGTATTTTCTTATCTGAGAATTTAAATTCTAATTTTATTCCTTAGCCAGCCTGAGGAATAAGCCACTGCCTATATATGCACGGTTGGAACATGATTTGTTGATGAGATAACTCAGGCTCCTGCATTATGGAGATAGTTTGTTCAGATAACATCTAGGAAAGAGGAAAGTTTCTAGTTTGGGTTTTTTGAGACAGTCTTACTCTGTAGCAAGGATACAGGCTGGCTTTAAATCAATCCATTCTCCTGCCTTGGTGTTTAAGTTATTCCCAATCTTATCTAAGCAAAAAAGGACTTCAAAGGTGGACTTAATTTGCCTGAAGATTCTGAGCGTTTCTTTGCTGAGAAAAAAATCTGGAAACTCTTGGTAACTAAAGACATTTACTTGGATTTCACTTGATTCAGTAGTTTCCCCTCAGGAGCCTCTCTTGGCCAGTGGTAGGATCCACTCACCACATTTACACAGGGAAGGGAGTGGACTGAGTTCAACTCTCCTGTGCCTGTTGGTTGAAGATAGGCGGTTGAGACATGAGTGTGTTCCTTGTTTTCCTCAGTACTCCCTGTTGAGACTATTGATACTAGGATGTGTGCTCAGAATGCAGGCACTTCTGTCATACAGTTAGATGGAAGCCAAGTCAGACACTAGTTGGAAACACCTGTCTTCATTGTTAGTGATCTTGGTGGTACTGACATGCTCCCAGTATGTTCCTTTGTTATTCCAGTTTTGAATTGTGCCCAGCCAGCTCTTGGCTCTGTGAGTCCCCTTTCCTGGTCTATAATTCACCATCTTCCTGCCTGGCATACTCTTGAGGTGTGCTGGCATGCCCAAGACTGCATGGATAGGGGCAGTTCTGTTCTCATAAAGCTGGCTTTGTCCATTCACTGCAATTCAATAATCTCAAAAGTCAGTCCTATGAACTCTGTAGCTTCCCTTTGTTTCCAAGTTTTGAAAGGAAGCCTCACATAAAATCCTCCAACTGACAAGTTCATTTAGTAGTTCATGTAACTTGATTGGCGCAGTAGTGATAGCTTCCCTTGATTAGGAAAACTTCCCTGCAGTACTAATTTGTTATGGATGGTGGAATTTGAGCGTTCAAAACCCTTGTGGATAATTGAATGAAACAAGAAAATGTGTATAATGGCATGAATTAGCCGTTGAATTTCAGCTTCTCAATACATAAGGAATTATTAATAAAGTTTGTTTATTGACAACCAAATCCAAGGCTGTAATGTGTTAATGTGAATCCAAAATATCAGTTCCTGGGGAAAATGGGACATTCGCTGTGATATAATTGACTCTCATCCATCCAAGTGCCTTAGAAATCACCCAGGAAAGCATTTAACTGGAATCAAGTTCTCTACACTAGTGTCATCCTCAAACTGACAGTGATGGCCATGGGTGAAGGACTGGGTTTTGTCCTCTGTTCTCTTACAAGCAAGGTCCAAGACTGGCTGGCCTCACTACAAAGCTGAAACTGGCCTTGAGCTGCTCTTGGCATTTCCCAAGTGCTGGGACTACAGATAAGCACACCAGATTTACTCTGCTTTTTAAACACTTCTTATCTGCTCCCAGCTCCTCTCCACCAGTTTTCTAGTACTTTCTACTACTACTTTCTAGTACTTTCTGAAAGTTAGTCATAATTTTAATAAAGTAGAATTGGGAAGTTTGTGTCCTCTAAAATCTGTTAAGCCTAAAAGTAGGTGTGGTGTGGTTTGATTTTTTGGGGGGATAGGTGCCACCGTGCCCTTGTGAAGGTCAGAGAACTACCTTTGGGAGCCATCCACCTGAGCCCTGTCACTGGCCTTTCTTCACAGTGACTTTCACCACTTTTCCAAATTGGGATGTGCTGTCAACAGCAGAAAGGAAGAGCGCTCACTGAAGCGGTCTGTAGAGTACCACTAACACAAACTGTGTTTGGTTTTGGTTCTTCCACACAGGGTTTCTCTGGCCCTGGCTGGCCTGTGCCCTCACAGGAAAGGTAAAAGGTCTGTGTAGAGACCTGGACCCTAACGTTCTAAGGCCCAGAACCCCTCTTCGTGACATCCTGGTTTAGCCATTGAGAAATGTACACAGTACATGGGAGCATGAGTTATAATTGATGACTATGGGCTTCTTAGAACTTGAGGCCAGAAAAGGCTCTGGGAAGTGGTCATGAGGACATGAGTTTGTCCCCCAAACCTACGTTCGATTTGGTTTGGTTTTTCGAGACAGGGTTTCTCTGTGTAGCCCTGGCTGTCCTGGAACTTGGCTCTAGAGACCAGGCTGGCTTCAAACTGCCTCTGCCTCCCAGAGTGCCGGGATTAAAGGCATATGCCATCACCCCACACTTAATGTTAAGATGTGGATGCTCCTGGGCCAGCAAGCCTCTAGTATATAGAGCCTCAACAAAGTGGAAGAGAACTGACTCCCGAACACTGGGAATCGTACCTCCACATGCACTTCCACATACATGCACACACACAAACACAATGATAAAATTCTAAAATAATGCACTGGTTCATGGTCCATGTTAGTAATGTCAGTGTTGGTGAGGTAGACAGGAGCATCTCTGGGGTTAACTGACCAGCTAGTCTAGCCTCCTTGGTGAGCTCCAGACTAATGAGAGAGCCTGTCTGAAAAGTCAGGTAGACAGCACCTGAGGAAGTTACCCTGCCCATATGTGCACCGGCAGCCACACATGAAAGTACCTGGGAGTCAGCATTTCTTTACTTGCACTTGGCCCCAGTTTACAGGAAGATTAAACATAATGAAGTGAACTGTGGGATGTGGTGCACACCCTTAATCCCAGCACTCAGGAGGCAGAGGCAGGCAGATCTCTGAGTTCGAGGCCAGCCTGGGCTACAGAACAAGTTCCAGGACAGCCACAGCGACACAGAAACCTTATCTTGAAAAACTATGTATACATTGAAGTGAGCTTGTTTTTGTCTGGTGTGTCTGTACACCTGTGCCTATGTGTGCGAAGGTAAGAGGTTGACATTGGGTACCTTACTCATTGCTCTTCTGTACATTTTGAGATAATCTCTTAGGAACTCAGAGCTCACCAGCTGGCTCTACTGACTGGCCAGTGAGCCTCTGTGATCCATCTTGCTCTGCCTCAGCGCTGGGATTACAGGTGCATGCCCCCTTGCCTGACCTTTTGTGTGGGTGCTGGGGACCCACACTCAGTTCCTCATGCTTACACAGCAAGCACCTTACTGAGCCATCTCCCCAGCCCTACCAAACTATTTTGAAGGTTCTTAATCCAAAATTGTCCGGTATTCGCCGGGTGGTGGTGGCGCATGCCTTTAATCCCAGCACTCGGTGTGGGAGCCCGTTTTCAGGTTCCTCATGGCTTTACCCAGAAGGTCTTCATAGAGAGGATGATTGGACCACGGGCCTGAGTGCAGGTGTCTGAGATGGTCTGCACTTGGCTGTGCTGGGGGGAGGTCTTTTGCTCCACCCCTTGGTATTTCTATAATTACCCTAGGGCAGAGACAGGGCTTGTTGGAATAGGTTCCAGGCTCTCTCAAGGTTATTCTTTATTTTCTGTTTATCTCCACAATCTAAATCTTTCTGTCCAATATTTCCCGCTGCTCAAACTCAAGAAAACTCTGGGGAACTGTGGGGTTGGTGGGTAAACGCCCTGCAACTCGGGAGGCAGAGACAGGCATATCTCTGTGAGTTTGAGGCCAACCTGGTTTACAGAGCGAGATCCAGGACAGGCACCAAAACCACACAGAGAAACCCTGTCTTGAAAAAAACAAAAAACAAAAACAAAAAACCAACCAGAATTTTCTAGTATTCTGCATCAACAGAAGTGGGATAGACTTGTTAGGCAATTTATTTTGCTGTGGTCTATAACAGTGAAAACATGCCTTGCTCCCTGCCCCTTCCCCAGAAGTTTTAACAGACTTGAACAGAAGTAGTTGTTGCAAATTTCAAAAGACCAGATTTCAGTAAGTTCTGGCTGGGATGTGATAGTGCACACTTGTAGGCAGGTCTCCACCAAGGCCACACAGAGAAAGCCTGTCTCAAAATACAGAAACACGAAAAACCAAAAAAAAAAGTATTCAAACTTAAAAAGCCGGGCGGTGGTGGCACACGCCTTTAATCCCAGCACTTGGGAGGCAGAGCCAGGTGGATCTCTGTGAGTTCGAGGCCAGCCTGGGCTACCAAGTGAGTTCCAGGAAAAGGCGCAAAGCTACACAGAGAAACCCTGTCTCGAAAAACCAAAAAAAAAAAAAAAAAAAAAAGATTCAAAAAACTCTCGAGTACTGGGATTAAAGGAGTACACTACTAAAGCCTGGCTGAGAATAGAGTCTTTAAACAATAGCTGTCCGATTTAGGAGACAAAACATCAGACGTAGCCTACCAATCTCAAAGGGCTTATAATCGTAACTCTTACCGGTGTTTAGAAATGAAAAAACTTGAGTAACTACGGTGGAGATGACCTCAAGCAAAGCAGCCAGGATCCTCTAACAAGCTTACATGCTGCCTCTTCCTCTAGCAGGTCTAGGCTTTGTTCCCCTGTTTTAGGCTTCCCTAGTTCTCCCTGTGGATGTAACCTGACTCCCTGAAGTAAGAGCAACTGTCAGATCGTATAACTAGAAAACTTCAGGGAAAGCAGTCTGAGGTTTATGACCACGCCTTAAAGAGTTAAATTATTTTAACTTTTTTTTTTTTTAAGTAGTCTAGGACCATTAAGAGTTTGAAAGAAGCCAGGTGGTGGTAGCACACATCTTTAAATCTAGCACTCGGGAGGCAGAGGCAGGCATATCTCTGTGAGTTTGAGGCCAGTCTGGTCTACAGAGTGAGTTCCAGGACAGCCTCCAAAGCTACACAGAGAGACCCTGTCTTGAAAAACCAACAAAGTTTGAAAGACAACTGGGCAGGCAAGTGGTAGATATCAAGAGCTGCTGGGAGGAGGAGGTAGAGAAAAACCATGCTTTTAAAAGAGCATGGAGGTGGGCAAGCAGCTGTAGAAAGATGAGGTGGGGAGTTGTCTGGGAGGCCAGCTCCCACCTTTTCAAGGAAGCGTTCTTGTGAGGAGAGAGGGATAAGAAAATATCAGAAAGATAGCGAAGAGGAGAAAGACAGAAACACAGGGTAGCTTCAAAAAGACCTGTGTCGCCGGGCAGTGGTGGCGCACGCCTTTAATCCCAGCACTTGGGAGGCAGAGCCAGGCGGATCTCTGTGAGTTCGAGGCCAGCCTGGTCTCCAAAGCGAGTTCCAGGAAAGGCGCAAAGCTACACAGAGAAACCCTGTCTCGAAAAACCAAAAAAAAAAAAAAAAAAAAGACCTGTGTCAATACCCAACAGCCTATTCCATTTAGTCAAAAGGGCTTTTTATAACAATGCCAAGGGGCAGGGCAAAAGACCTCCCCCTCGCTAGATCAAGGCACACCGCACACACAGCCAAGTGTAGCCCCTTCCAAACACCTGGTAACCACACCCGTGGTCAAATCATCCCCTTACACAGCCCTGCTGGGTAAAGCAAACTCAGATTCTCGGACCCTGAGTAAGTTCTCACTAGGAAACCTAAAAAAAAGTAGTTTTTATTGCTGTGATAAAATGATCAAAAAGCAACTTGGGAGGACAGAGTTTATTTCAGCTTATACTTCCATATCGCAGTCCTTCGCTGAGGGAAGTCAAGACAGGAAAAACAGCATTCTTGGAGGCAGGAGCTGATGCAGACACCATAGAGGAGCTCTGTTTACTGGCTTGCTCACCAAGGCTTGGTCAGCCTGCTTTCTTATAGCACCTTGGACCACTACTCCTGGGGTGGTACCACCACTGCTGGGGTGGCACCACCTTCAATGGGTAGGGCCCTCCCGCATCCATCACTAAGAAAATGCACTGTAGACTCGCCTATACACCAATCTTATGGAGGCATTTTCTCTGTTGAGATTCCCTCCCTCCTCTCAAGTGACTAGCTTGTGTCGAATTGACTTTAAACTAGCCAGTACAGGGATCTTCAGGGAAACAGTGAGAAAGCGTCAAGGAAAGTATATTAATGAGAAATACAGAGAAGCGAAAGAAAAATTAGTGTGGGGTTTTTTTTTAATACTGATTTTTACCTATGTGTGTGAATGTATGCCACATGTTTACGTAGGGTCCAAGGAAACACTGAAGGAAGACCCCAGTCTCAAATAGCATGTAAGAACAGAGAGCGTTTATTACTATACCAGCGTGTGCGTGGTTGGTGTTTCACAATGGCGACCCCAAGAGGAGCATGCAGGCTCCGTTTAAGCACAGCTAGGGGAATTTTAGGAATAGTTAGGTCATCTCAAATACGATTGGTCAAGCAGGCAGCAGTTACACTAGTATACCTTTAATTGGCCGAGGTTTTTCTTTGGACATACTTGGGTAAGTTTCAAGGGGGTTGCAGGAACTGTCCTCGAGACACTGTGGGGCTGACTCGGGCCTTGTTCGTGCTTTTCCCTCATCCCTGAATGTCATTTGTTGATAAATGGACTTTTATTGGGAGAGATAACTGTTTGCCCCTCTCAGAGAACGGAAACCTAAATTCACTTGTAAAAATGGAAAAGTTTAACCCTTCATTGGCTGGAGGGAGGTGCCAGGTCCCCTGAAGCTGGAGTTTTAGGTGGTTGTGAACCACCTGACCTGGGTGCTGAGTGCTCTTTAGTTCTGAGCCGTCTCTCCAGCCCCAAAGTTACATTTTTAAAACTGGAACTCAGAAAAGCAGGCAGGCTTAGCAGTGAAGATCATCTGTAAGCAGCTGCCCAGCTTCTTGAAGACGTCTTCGTTCAGGGACAGAGAGAGCGAATACAAGGCCCTCAGCTCCTCTTGCCACACACCCTAAGGTTTCTAGAGTCGAAGGTTAGCATCAGATTCCTGGGAAAATCCAAATTCTTGGGATCCATTGCTCCAGGAGTCAGTCTTGTAGCTAAAGTATGGTGTGTGTAGCTAAAGTATGGTGTGTGTGTGTGTGTGTGTGTGTGTAGTATGGCTTGTGTGTGTGTGTGTGTATAAAGTACGGCTTTAGAGTATGTGTGTGTGTGTGTGTATTTCTGCCAGGGTGGTTACACCGTCACAGTCAGCAATCCCTAGGACCTCTCACCCACTTTCTCCACTCCCTCCAGACTTCTTTTGCAAGAATTAAGTCATGAGTGGCTGAGGAGGTAACCCGGTGGTTAAAATGCTTGCTGCGCAAGCTTGAGTACCTGAATCCCCTCCCCGCACCCACACTGAAAATCACCGGGAGGAGCTGGAGGGTCGGCTCAGCAGAGCTCATAGCATCTGTTACTCTTGCAAAGAATGGGGCGCACTTCCTAACACCCATATCAGGAGGCTCACAACTACCTGCAACTCCTGTTTCAGGGCGTCTGACATCATCTTCTGGCCCCTGGACACCTGCACTCACACAGTGTGCATACATACCCTCGGGCACATAGAAAATAAATCTTTTTTAAAAAACTCAATAGGCGCCGGGCGGTGGTGGCGCACGCCTTTAATCCCAGCACTCGGGAGGCAGAGGCAGGTGGATCTCTGTGAGTTCGAGGCCAGCCTGGTCTACCAAGTGAGTTCCAGGAAAGGCGCAAAGCTACACAGAGAAACCCTGTCTCGAAAAACCAAAAAAATAAAAAAAAAAAAAAAAAAAAAAACTCAATAAAGGTGGAGACCAGAGGCCCCCTGGGGCTGGTGAGCCAACTAGCCTAGCCAATGGGTGAGCTCCAGGTACAGTGAGAGACCCTGCCTCAAAAAACAAAGGAGACAGCAACAGAGAAAGACACCAAATGTCAACCTCTGATTTACACACACACACACACACACACACACACACACAAATAAATAAGCAAATTATCAGGCAAATTGTGTGTGATTTATTTTAAACCATTTAAAGGAAGTAAGCCAGGTGTGGTGGCACACGCCTTTAATCTCAGCACTCCAAGGTAGAGGCAGGCAGATCTCTGTGAGTTTGATGCCATCCTGGTCTACAGAGTGAGTTCAGGACAACCAGGGCTATGTGGTGAGACCCTGTCTTGAAAAAAATTAAAAGAAGTATATAAAGCAGTAGAGACAGCTCTTGGGCGATCCAAATTGTAAACACTGGAATGGGGGTTTGGGTGGGTTTTTAAAAAATTATTATTATGAAAATTTTCTTCTCATGCACACAGACAGTCATGCCTGAAGTTTAAGGTCAGTATGTAACTAAAACTTTCCAATAATGCTGCAGGATCTGGTTAAATTGGGCTAGGTTGAATTTACAACAGGAAAATAAGTCCCTTAACCATCATTCCCCACAGCAGAGCCGGGAGTGGGGGTGGGGTCTAGAGCGGGAAGTTGGGGCATGTTCACTGGCTTCTCTTCAGGAAGGAGTGCTTCAAGAGCTGGAGAGCAGAAGGTCTCTCGTGCTGGTCCCTAAGAGGGAGAAAACACATTAGAAGCAGCACACAGTCACATGACCGCTACCAAGCTCTGCTTGAGTCTGATGCAAACTATAAAGATGGTGGCACAGGGGCTGGGGAGATGGTTCAGTTCAGTGACTACCAGCTCTTACTGCTCTTGCGAAGGTCTATAGTTCAGTTCCTGGTACCACCATGTTGGGTGGCTCACAACTACCTGTCGCTCCAACACCAGGAGATCCAATGCCCTCTTCCAGTCTCCTCAGGCATCCACACATGGGGTAGACACAATTAATTAACTAATATTAATTAATCTAATTAAAATAAAGATGGAGGCACAATTGCTGATTGTCCAATAGACTGGCTTGAGCTTCAACTCCAGTTTTTAGCTCTAATCTCAGGCAAGTGACACAAACCTTGCTCCCCTGTAAAGTGAAGATTAACAATACCTATAGACTGGGGCTATGTGCTTGTCTAGCACACACAAAGTCCTAGCACTACACAAATTGGGCTTGGTGCTCACCCATCATCCAGTACTTAGGTGGAAGCAAGAAGATGAGAAATTCAAGGCTATCCTTGGCTAAGCATAAATTTGTAGAGCTTGAGACCATCCTGGGCTACATGAGACCTTGTCTCAACTTTAAAAAAAATTTTTAAAACCTACCTCATTGAAAGAATTAAATAAATATGTATCTTAAAATAAAAAACTCACTGGGCAGTGGTGGCACATGCCTCTAATCCCAGCACTCAGGAGGAAGAGGCAGGTGGATCTCTGTGAGTTTGAAACCTGCCTGGTCTACAGTGTGAATTGTAGTACAGCCAGGGCTACACAAAGAAACCCTGTCTCAAAAAAAAAAAAAGAATTCATAGTTTAAGACCTTTAAAAGTAGGTATTTATACCGTTTGGGTGTGTCTTTTTGTTGAGACAGGCTTTCATGTATCTCACAATGACCTTGAACTTCTGATCCTTCTACCTACATCCTGAGTGCTGAGGCTACAGGCATCCAGCATGCCCAGTGTATGTGATGCTGGGGATCGAATCCAGGGCAAGCACTCTGCCGACTCAGATACATCCCCAGCCCTGATACAGAACTCGGAATGGGCCACACGTTGTGAAGGGAAGATACACCAGGTATCTTCTCCCTTCTTTGACTTTCTTACCTGGTCAGGCACAGGCGCACAAAGTCTGCAGCGGATTCTGAGAATCGGTCAGGTAGAGGAGGCATTAGGCCTCTGTGGGCTCCAATGTAAAACATGGCTGCCATCCTATCCATGGAAGCCAGAGGAGGCTTCCCAGTGGCCATCTCAAACACGGTACAGCCGATGCTCCATATGTCTGATTTCCTTCCATAGCCAGACTCATTGATGACCTCAGGGGCCATCCAGTATGGCGTCCCACGCATGGACTTCAGCATGTCACTGTGGGTACCGTTTAAGCCTGCCCAGGCCAAACGCTTGGCACAGCCGAAGTCAATCAGCTTTATTGTTCCAGTTGGCATGAGCATGACATTGTTTCCTTTGATGTCTCGGTGGACCACACAGTTCTCGTGGAGGTAAGCTACACCTTGCAGGATCTGCCTTGTGTATTTACAGAACACCGTCTCAGGCAGGGGCCCGAAGCGGTTTATAATACTAGAGATGGAGCCACCAGGAACAAATTCCATGAAGATGCTCAGCGTGTTCTCCTCCAGGCATGTCCCTAGATAAGCCACAATGTTTACATGCTTCAGTGCCTTCAGCAAATCCACTTCCTCCTGCAGTTTCCGGTACTCTTTCTCAGTAGCCAATTTGTCAGAAGTGTCCAAGGCCACCTGCTTTACGGCTATGAGCTGCCCTAGGCTGGTAAGCCCGCAGTAAACCTACAAACAAGCCAATACATATTACTAAATTTACGATAAAGCAATGTGTTCAGAAGTGCCTTGCCCTGCGCTTCCCAAACATTTTCTCCCCTCTTAAGTCAACCCATCCCCAGCTGAATGACACATAGTTAAGCCAACTCTGCATTCCAGATGGCGGTGAGCAAGGATGATGAACAGGTGGCACGTTAATTTATAGTTCCATGATTAGATCAATACAAACTGATCATCATCCCCTCCAGACATGCATTTTTAGGTAAGTTTAAGTTTGTATGTTTTTTGTTTTTTTGGGTTTTTTTTTTTTTTTTTTTTTTGCTTACTTGTCTTGCTTTTTAAAAAACCGTGGGGCCGCAGAGGCAGGCAGGTGCATCGGTGGGCGGCAGCTGAGACACAGTTGCAATAAAGACCAGAAACTGAGCTATTACCCGCTGAAAAGTTAGTGAAAACAAGCTCTTAATCAAGAGCTTGGAACAGGGACGCCTTTAATCTCAACACCCAGGGAAGGAGTCGTCTCCGTGGGATGGAACCAGAATGGATCTGAACACTCTGTCTGAAACTAACCAGGGCCCAGCTGCTGATCCTGCGAAACCCAACAACTTGGAGGTGTTGGTGAGACTACCCTGCTCAGCTGAAATCCATCCGGGAGAGGATTCAGAACCCTACAGTTTGAAGTCTGAGGAAACAAGTTTAGCTGAGGAGTTGATGAATGAGCAAAACGTGACCTGAGAACACAGAAGAAGGCGCCGCCCAGCCACCGAACCAGATCACCAAAATCGTAAGTATACATTTCACCAACTGAGAATAGGTAAGCTCCCATCTCCAGACCGACAGATCAGGTCCCTAGCCCCTAGGCCCTACCCATCGGAGTCCCAGAGACCAGACAGCTACCTTTCCCTGCTCCCCCACCAAAAAAAAAAAAAAAAAACAAACAACAAACAACAAAAACTAACCCTACAAACCTAACAACCACTGAAACCATAAGTACAACCTGCACCAACTGGGAACAACTGTTCCCAGAGACAGAACCCACTAACACTGATTTGACTAAGCTGCTCCCGAAGAAACAGAGCCCAACAGCACCAATTTAACCAAGAACTCCTAGTGAACCAAGACTAAAAATTAGAACAAGAGAGGCACCTTCAGACACAGACTCTGCCTGCACCAAGCAGAGGAAGAGATGAGTAGACGCCAGTGCAAAAATACAGGCAACAACATAAAGACCTATATGACAACATCAGAACCTGGTGATTCTACACCTGCAAGACATGAACATACCAAGACAGAAGAAACAGAAGAAATCAATCCTAAAAATGACTTTAAGAAGATGATAGAGGCCCTTAAAGAAGAAATAAAAAATTCCCTTAAAAAGGAAATAAAAAATTCCCTTAAAGAGGAAATGAAAAACTCCCTTAAAGGGGAAATAAAAAATTCCCTTAAAGAGGAAATAAAAAATTCCCTTAAAGAGCCGGGCAGTGGTGGCGCACGCCTTTAATCCCAGCACTCGGGAGGCAGAGCCAGGCGGATCTCTGTGAGTTCGAGGCCAGCCTGGGCTACCAAGTGAGTTCCAGGAAAGGTGCAAAGCTACACAGAGAAACCCTGTCTCGAAAAACCAAAAAAAAAAATTCCCTTAAAGAGGAAATGTAAAACTACATTAAAGAGGAAATAAAAAAATTCCCTTAAAGAGGAAATGAAAAACTCCCTTAAAGAGGAAATGAAAAATTCCTTTAAAGAGGAAATAAAAAATTCCCTTAAAGAAATGGAAGAAAAAACAAACAAAAAATTGGAAGAAATCAAAGAAAGCCAAGAAAAAGTAATTAAACAGATGAAAGAAACATTCCAAGATCTGAAAAATGAAATTGAGACAATAAAGAAAACACAAGCTTAGGGAATGCTGGAAATAGAAATCCTCACTAAACGAACAGGAACTACAGAAACAAGCATAACCAACCGAATGCAAGAGATGGAACAGAGAATCTCTGACACTGAAGACACAATAGACAAAATAGATTCGTCAGTCAAAGAAAACACTAAAAATAAAAAAGTCGTAACACAAAACCTCCAAGAAATTTGGGACACCATGAAAAGACCAAACCTAAGAATAATAGAAGAATACCAACTCAAAGGCACAGAAAATATATTCAACAAAATCATAGAAGAAAACTTTCCTAACCTAAAGAAAGAAATACCTATGAAGATACAAGAAGCTTACAGAACACCAAATAGGCTGGATCCAAAAAAAAGTCCCCTTGCCACATCATAATCAAAACACGAAACACACAGAACAAAGAAAAAATATTAAGAGCCGCAAAGGAAAAAGACCAAGTAACATACAAAGGCAAACCCATCAGAATAACAACAGACTTCTCAATAGAGACTGTGAAAGCTAGAAGGTCCTGGACAAATGTTATGCAGACACTAAGAGACCATGGATGCCAACCCAGACTATTATACCCAGCAAAACTCTCAATCACCATAGGAGGAGTAAACAAAATATTCCATGATAAAACCAGATTTAATCAATACCTGTCCACAAACCCAGTCCTACAGAAAGCACTAGAAGGGAAAATCCAACCCAAAGAAGCTAAACATGCCGGGTGGTGGTGGCACACGCCTTTAATCCCAGCACTTGGGAGGCAGAGCCAGGCGGATCTCTGTGAGTTCGAGGCCAGCCTGGGCTACCAAGTGAGTTCCAGGAAAGGCGCAAAGCTACACAGAGAAACCCTGTCTCGAAAAACCAAAAAAAAAAAAAAAAAAAAAAAAGAAGCTAAACACACCCATGAAAACTCAGGCAATAAATAATCCCACACCAACAAACACCAAAGAAGGACAACACAACACAACCACAAAAAATAACAGGAATTAACAATCACTGGTCATTAATATCCATCAATATCAATGGTCTCAACTCACCTATAAAAAGACACAGACTAAAAAACCGGATATCTCGGCACATGCCTGTATCTTAGCCCATGGGAGGCCAAAGCAGGGAGATCTCAGTCAGTTCAAGGACAACCTGGTCTAAATTGCAGGTCAGCCAGGGTTGCTACATAGTGAGACCCTGTCTGGAAAAAAATGGTCTTTTTATTTTCATTTATGTAATTATGTGTGTATCTTATTTGTATGTATCTCTTTGTGTGTCTGGACAGAAGAGGGCATTGGAGTTACAGGTGGTTATGAGCTGCCCAATGTGGATAGATGCAGGGAATGGAACTCAAGTCCTCTGGAAGCGCAGGGTATGCTTTTAACGATGATCTATCTCTCCACCCCTGCTCTTGTTTTTTGAAGACCATGTCTTACGTAGCTTAGGATGCCTCAGACTCACTTTGTAGCTGATGATAGCCTTAAACTCCTGATCCTTCTGCCTTCTCCTGCATGCTAGGATTACAGTGTGTCTCACTCCAACCAGCGGGAGTCAGATGCTTGTGTGTGCCAGTAGAAGCTGGGGCTTGACATCTGGTGTCTCAATCAATTGTTCTCCTACCGATTTATTTATTTATTTTGAGACACAAAGTCTCTCTCTAAACATAGAGCTCCCCAATTAGGTTAGCCATTGAGCCCCGGGGACCCTCCTGTCTCTTCCTCTGCTCTGCTGAGATTGTAGGTGCATGGTACAGCAAAAGCACCCAGTTTCTGTCGAAGCACCGGGGATCAAACTCAGGTCCTCGTGCTTGTACAGCAAACGCTTTACAAACCAAGCCGTCCCTCCAGCCTGCCATGTACAATCTTTTATCAGTTTTCTTTATCTATAAAACTGATAGAACATTTGCGTCACCTATTTCTCTGATGAGAAAGAATATCGGAATATCGGGGCTAAGTCAGAATGAAGCGCTCTAGCAGAGAAGGAAGCAGGTCCTGCCGGCCACCCTGTAATGTGCTCTAGGGTGTTTGTCTCCTCTTCTTGTGCATTCCTGAAGTGTCCCCAGCTAGAGACTCCACAGATCTGCCTTAGGGGTTAGTCTGTTCTTCAATTGTCTATTCAATACTCTTTTTTTTTTTTTTTTTTTTTTTTTGGTTTTTTGAGACAGGGTTTCTCTGTGTAGCTTTGTGCCTTTCCTGGATCTCGCTCTGTAGACCAGGCTGGCCTTGAACTCACAAAGATCCACCTACCTCTGTCTCCCGAGTGCTGGGATTAAAAGCGTGTGCCACTACGGCCCGGTTCAATACTCTTTAGACCACCCAAACTTTAGGGGGTCATTTATGTAAATCCTCAAACATGAAGAACAGCACTTGAGTTGGCTGGCCCCTGTGTGGTAAGTCTTCCCATTTCCAGTGCTATGTTGAGCCACTGGAGGGAGAGATTTCTTCCCCAATGGGCTTACGATGATGGTTAGAATTGGCAGTCAACTTGACAGAATCTAGATCGGTCTAGGAGACACACATCAGGGCATGTCTGTGAGGGAATTTCTACATTAGGTTAACTATGGTGGGAAGGGCCATCCTGAACGTGGTTGGTACCATCCCATGGGCTGGGGTCCTGGACTGAATAAAAAGAGAAAGTGAGCTGAGCACCAGCATCCATCTTTCTGCTTCCTGACTGGGTGCCCTGTGAGCAGCCGCCGCCCCCTCCTGCCGCCTGCTGCCGGGACTTCCCCATCATGATGGACTGTGCCCCCAGACTGAGCCAGAACGAGTCATTGTCTCCTTAGGTTGCTTCTGTCAGGCGTCTTGTGAAAGCAATGAGAATAGTTAACGCAGGGCTTGAACTTGGAATGAAGAGAGGCTGGAAGTGCGATGGGTCACTGCCTGAGAGCAAGAGCCAGGGGGAAAGCCTGTGAGACAGTCAATCTTGAGGAAATGGTTAAGCCTCTAAAAACATCAAATCAACTCCACACCTTTCAAATTCGTCAAGAAAGAAACATATTCCCCCTGAAGCAAGTTCGGGTTTGTCTGTGGCTTCCAGCTGAAACTGTTCTAAGTACAGGCAGTAGGAAAAAGAACAGGTGGAGAGTTCTGGTTTCGGGGTTCAAAGTGGACTTACTGTGCCATATGCTCCTCTCCCAAGGATCTCACCCTTGGTCCAGAATATAGCCTCTTCATGTTTTAGACTCTTGTCAGAAAGTGTCTTCTTTTCATTTGAGTTAAGAAAGTTTTCCTCCTTATCATATATCCTGAATCCATTAATACACCTCTGGGATAATGAGAAAAAAAGATCATTAAACTCTGAGTTGTTGTGGGGAGTTGAGAACACAAGAGATCTGTCTCCTTTTCCTCCTCCTCCTCCTTTTTTGAGACAAGGTATCAGGTAGCCAGGCTGACCTCCAACTTACTATGTAACTAAGGATGGCCTCAAACTTCTGACCCTACTGCCTTATGCCCCAAGTGTTGTGACTACAAATGGTGTGGCACCACATGCAGCTCGGGACACCTGTGTGCAGCCCACCACACCTGAGTGCCGCCCACCACACCTGCATGCAGCCCACCACATCTGAGTGCATCCCAGGACACCTGTGTGCAGCGCAGGACACCTTCATGCAGCCCCAGGACACTTGCATGCGGCTTACCACACCTGCATGCAGCCCAGGACACCTGTATGCAGCCCAGGGCAACTTCGTACAGTCCACCACATCTATGTGCAGCCCAGGACACCTGTGTGCAGCCCACCACACCCATGTGCAGCCCAGGACACTTACTTAACATGCAGCCTACCACACCTGTGTGCAGCCCAGGACACTTGCATGCAGCCCACCACACCTGCATGCAGTCCACCGCACCTGCATGCAGCCCACCACATCCATGTGCGACCTAGGGTAGCTATAAGTATATATGGTCCAATACAAAAATCATAAACTTACTTCACACATAATGGGGTTTGGGTTGCTTGTTTGTTTGGTTTGTTTGTTAAGCAATTGTGAGGCTCTAGAGCTGACTGTCAGCTTTGCCTGTAACTGTCTGGTGATCATGGGAAATTATCTGCCGTTGATAGAAAATGTCATCATTGAAGAAAATACTGACCTACTTAAATACATAGTTTCGTTGTGTTAATTTATCCCAGGTGATCCCAAGGCAGAGAGTCAGACTAGCTAAATTCCAGAAATAAGCCCACAATGAGACCTGGGGATTTGGCTCAGCAGGTAGAGTGCCTGCTTAGCATTCACAGAGCCTTGGGTTCCATCCCCGGCACCACACAAACCAGGCAGAAGCAGGAGGTTTAGAAGTTCAAGGTCTGGAAGCCTACATGGGACCGAGACCGAAAGTCCTCTGCACGTATGTGACAGCTGTAGTTTGGTCTACTTGTGGGACTCCTAACAGTGGGAACAGGGATTGTCCCTAACACTTTGGCTGGTTCTTGGGAACCTCATACTGGATTGCCTTGCCCAGCCTAAATACAAGGGGAGGTGCTTAGTTTTATGGCAACATGATATGCCATGCTTTGCTGATACCCACGGGAGGCCTGCCCTTTCTGAACGGAACGGATGAGTGGATTCTGGAGGAGTGGAGGTGGGGAGGGGATGGGAGGAGAGGAGAGAGGGGAAACTGCACTTGGGATATAAAATAAATAAATAAATTTAAAAAGAAAAAGAAGTTCAAGGTCATCCTCAGCTACATAATGAGTTGAAGGCCAGCCTGGGCTACAAGAGACCTTGTCTCAAAGAAGAAAAAACACAGTAAAGAACTGTAGCCTAGCAGTTAACTCTGCAGCTCACACACAATTGAGCCTGTATGATAATGAGTATTCAGAGACAGGTAATGCCTGGGGGGGGGGGGCGCTCACCAACCTAAGACAGAGCGCCTGTGTGGCCTGGGCAGGTGTCTCCATGATGGGTAAGGTGACCTGCTGATGTCCCACACAACCTAAGTCAGAAGCTCATTTTTTAGTGAAAGGGGGACCTGTAGGGTCCTGGCCCCCATTTTGGGTAACTGTTGCCTTGCTTGCTGACCGTGACCTTGATATCCTCCTTATGCTAATTCCCTGCCGGGTTCCACCCTCCTGAATGCTTAAGGAAAGATCCTTGTCTGTTTATCCTGCATAATGGGCGTTAACAGCTTAGATGCAAGATTGTAAAACATCTGCCCTCTGGGGTTCTCCCATTGTGCTGTAAGCCTGTATTTAAGACCTCCTCCCTCCTTCAATAAACGGCATTTGTCATTAATAAATAAATAAATAAATAAATAAATAAATAAATAAATAAATAAAATCTAAAAAAAAAAATTGTAGCCTAAGCCTGGCTGTGGTGGCACATGCCTTTAATCCCAGTACTGGTCTACAGAGTGAGCTCCAGGACAGACAGGGCTACACAAAGAAACCCTGTCTCAAAAAACCAAAAAGAAAATTTACTATTTGGGGTTTATGATTCCTTATTTAGGAATAAGGATTTTAGGGGCCAGCAAGAAGACTCAGTGCAGTGGTTATGGTCTCCCATCAGATATTTGCATTACAGTTCATAGCAGTATCAAAATGACAGTTATGAAGAAGCAACAAAATAGTGTTATGGTTGGGGGTCACTGCGACACGAGGAAGGGTCACAGCATTGGGAAGGTTGGGAACCACTGACTCAGTAGAAGGAGGCTTTAAGCCTGACGATCAAAATTTGATCCCGGGAGCTGAAATGATGGAAGGAGAGGTTACCTGAAGGTATCCTCTGACTTCTACCCATATGTCATGTCACATGCGTGTGTACTCATGCACCTGCAAGCACACATACGCACACACACATGCACACACACACACACACACACACACACACACACACACACACACACACACACACACACATAATTAAAATAAGGGTTTTGACCCAGATCATCTCTGGGGTCCTTTCCACCCCACTGCGCCTCTGATTCTACTCAGACCAACCTGTAGTTTGACATTTGTAGTCTCTCTGTCCAGTTCTTCGATGGTATTGCCTCTCCTGCTGAAGACAAGGTTCAGGTTTTCGGCATCTGCCTCGTTTGTCATTATTTGGCAAGAGCTGTTATCTGTCTCATCAAGTGCTAATAGTTCTTCAACTAGACAGCCTAGCAACTCGTCCGTCAATTCTTCCTTCTTTCCCGGGTCTAAGATTTCTTGGGAAATCTTTCCAAATGTTCCATATGTGACAGAGTTGTTTTCTAGGCTATCCTGATCCAAAGAACGTGTCCAGTGTTGTTCTGTCGGGGAAGGTACGCTTTCTGGGTTCTCATGGAAAGAGAAACTTGAAAAGCTCACAAGTGTTTTAGACTTATCTGAAAGGCTATCAAATTCTAGGTAGTCCATGGACATCTGGCCAGCATTTACTTTGTCAAGAGGTTCTCCATCCGGCTTTTCTGGTGACACGTGATGCTTGCCTGAAGCCTTGTTGCTGAGCACAGCCCAGCTGTCTTCTGAAGGGACGAGCAGGGTCTGGTGGTACAGCTCTTCAAGGTCTTTCAGATCTCCAAGGCTTTGGGTTAGTACGTCACTGTCATCCACACACTCCTCCGTGAAGATTTCTTCTTCAACAATGGATAGATCGGAGACAGGAGGGGTTTCTTTCTGTTTGGGGGATTGCTCAGGGATCAGTGTCAAGTTCGTGAGCTGAACTTCATCCTTGGGAGACAGAAAACCGTTTCCTGAAGATCTCATCTGCCAATCTGGTTCTGAAACACCATCCTCCGTGTGGCTACCCATAGCCTTGCAACCCTTTGCTTTGGAAATTAACCCTCTGTGCTTTTGCTTGAGCCCAAGTGAAGGCTTTGGGGGTTTAACATGTGGTCTCTTCTGAAGAAGTCTTGCTCGGCTATTGCTGCTTCTGTCGCTTTGGGAAGACTGACATTTGCTGGTGACGCATCGGCCCAGGGGAGCTGTGCATATTTCACGGTGATGTCTGTGTTCATGCCTTTCTGCCTCTCGAATGTGGCTGTAAATAGGAGTCCCAAACATCTCGTAGATCCCTGGTCCGTTGGAGGTGGAATTGATTTCTTTGAACATGTCACTATACTTCAAGTCCAGGAAATGCAGTCTTGGACCTGTTGCTTCAACCGAGAGGGGAACACATGGCTTTTTTATCCCTGAATTTTTACAGATTCGAGGAAATGCTTGCTTTTTAGGTTTCTGGGTCTGATGCACTGAGTTCTTCTTTTCTGTCAGAGGCGCTCTCCTTTGAAACTTGGGGGATGGATGAGGTCTGGGGTCCATGAGTTCCAAAGCAGGGAAAACTTGAGTTTTTATGCTGCTTTTATGTCTGTTGGGTTGAGTGGAAGCTTGAATAGAAACCGTGAGATTAGGAGGCGGTCTGTTTCTCGCCTTGATCCTTGAATCCAACTTGGCTCTATGAGTATTTGCCTGGAGTTGGTCCTGTTCTTGTTGAGCGAGCATGTTGAGGCTGCTGCTGTTCTGCACCAAGGGCTTCCTCCTTTGGAGGCTGGCTTTGACTGTGGCTGGCTCCTTGGGTGTTCCTTCTCCAGGGAATGTGATTTGGGTCAGAGGCACCATTCCATTCATTTCTGGTATGGTTGATTCCTCTAGTGATAGGTTTTTGTTCTGTTCTGTGTCTCTCTCACTTTCTGGGAGCTCTCCAGTGGAGCCATCCGAGTCCACACTGGAGGCGTTCTTAAGAAGGCTGAGCTCTTCTAACACAGTGTGCGGTCCCATTGCTCCAGCTCTGGGTAAAGAATTGCTTTTGGAATCGGGAACTTTCTCATTTCTGATCTCTTTTTCCTCAGCTGGGGTCATGTCTGCATCCGAGGCTTCCTGGAGCTTGCCGAGCGTGGTGTGCACAACTTCAGGATCTCGTTCCCCACATACTCTGACGGTCGAACCCTCTTTTTTTCTTAATGAAAGGTACTGGGAGTTCTCCCCCCCTTTTCTCTGGCACTCACTGCCCCTTTCCCTCTCTGTGGGAATGTTGCCTTCCTTGACACTCTCACAGGAAACCACAGATGGCCCTTCTTCAAAGCCAGAGGTTCCAGTTTTGTCCCATCCTTCCATTTCCTGGGATCGCCAGCTCTCCGCCACTCCCCCCTGTCTTCTGGGATGGTCCACCTTCTGGAAAGAGCACATGTTTCTAGACCAAATGGCACTGTCAGAAGCCCTGAGGGTCTGTTCCGCTGGTCCTTTCCATGTGACTCCCGGATGGTTCTTTGATGAACTAAACTCAGCTGATTGACTAAGAGGCTCCAAGTGCTTAGGTCCCGAGGGGATGAGGCTTAGGACTTTTCTCTCCCTGTGTCTTGGGAACTTGTGACTTTTTTCCATATCGAGGACACAAGACCTCATGGGCAAGAATGATGGTGGTGGCAGAGGAATCTGAAGAGAGAGAACGAAAACAGTGAATGCAGTAAAGTACCTAAGTACCACATTCACTGGTTTACAGTCAGAAAGTTCTTTTTTGTTTGATTGGTTTTGTTTTTTTTTCGAGACAGGGTTTCTCTGTGTAGCTGTGGCTGTCCTGGAATTCACTCTGTAGACCAGGCTGGCCTCGAACTCAGAGATCTGCCTGCCTCTGTCTCTTGAGTGCTGGGATTAAAGGCGTGCGCCACCACCTAGCTTAAATCAAAAGTTGTAATACTCACTTATGGAAAGCCTTTTTAAAGTATAAAGCTACCCTAAAGATCACATTTTTTTTTTTCAGAGTTGGGGATCAAACCTAGGGCCTGTGCATACTGGGTAAATCTCTACATCCAGCTACATCAATACATCAACAGACCAGAAAGATCATAGTTTTTAAAACCAAAATCTGGCACTGGGGGTGGAGCTCAGTAAGTAGAGTGCTTGTCTGGTTTGCACGAAGCCGTGGTTGGATTCCCAGCAACATATAAGCAGGGCACCAAGTGGACACGTATAACCCCGTACTGGGGAGGTGGAGGCAGGGGAACCAGAGAAGGGTAAGGTCATAGACTATGTACAGCCTGGGATAAAGTACTTGCCAGTAAATAAAAAAAAATAAAAAATACATGCAGAAATAAAATAAAACCTGAATCAGGACCGGCAAGACGGCTCTCTGGGTAAAGGTACCTGCCACCAAGTCTGATGACCTAAGTCTGATTCCTGGGACCCACATGGTGGAAGGAGAGAGCTGACTCCCCAAGTTGTCCTCTGATTTCTACATGTACATAGTCTCCCTCCCTGCCTCCCTCTCTCTCTCTCTCTCTCTCTCTCTCTCTCTCTCTCTCTCACACACACACACACACACACACACACACACACACACACACACACACACACACACACGCAAGCAAATTAAAAACAAATACCTTAAAAAATATATCTCAAAACTTGCGATTTGGCTCAGTGGTATAGTATATACTTAGCATACATGAAACCCTAGGTTGGATCTCCAATACCAAAAATGAGGGGGAAAAAAACAACAGAAAATTAAAATACCATTCTTAGTACCTTTTCAAAACCAAGAAGGATTAAGCGACTCTTTTAAAAGACACAATTAGGGGCTGCAAAGGTGGGTCAGAAGTTAGCAGTAAGGACTGCCCTTGCAGAGGACTCAAGTGTGGTCCCGGCACCCATGCTGGGTGGCTCACAGATGCCTGTAAATCCAGTTCCGGGGGACCTGGTGCCTCTGGCCTCCTCAGGCATGTGTATGCACACAGCACACATACACAGACATATATATGTAAACACAATTGAAAATAACAAAGTTAATCCCCTTTTAAAGCTAACGTTAGGGGACTGGAGAGATGGCTCAGTGGCTGAATGCTGGCCACTCTTCTGGGGCAACATCCATAGTGGCTTACAGTCTATAATTCTAGTCCCAGGGGATCTGACACCGTCTTCTGGCTTCCACAGGCACCAAGCATGCACATGGTGCACAGACATAAATGCAGACAAAATGCTCATATTTATCAATTTTTTTTAAAAAATCAAAGCTAAAATTTATATGTCAAGACTCATGGTTTTATATATATATATACATAATTATTTGTACATATATATAATTTATTTGTTTGTTATTTTGCTTTGTTTTTGTTTTTTTGAGACACTTTCCCTGTGTAGCCTGACTGTCCTGGAACTCACTCTGTAGACCAGGCTAGCCTCTAACTCAGAGATCACCTGCTCCTGCTTTCCAAGTGCTGGGATTAAAAGGAATACAGCACCACACCACCTTAAATGTTAAGTTTTAAATTGAAAAATATTTTCTTTCTTTTTTCTTTTTAGTTTCCAAATGATTGATTAAGATGTTTTGGAACTCTCTTGAGATCACTTCAAACTTGTTGTCACATGTACTTTAGCGGTCCTTCCATGACTGATGAACTCAGGGTTTGTGGAACAGAAAGCTCCTCATTGCTTTGCCGAATTGTTTGGTTGGGAACAGCTTTAGACTTGGAAAATTAGCAACCCTATGATCTGGGTAGGCTGCTCAGTTGCTAGTGTTTTCCCAGAATGTGCAAAGCTTTGGAAATCCCCAGCAATCCACAAACTGGATGTGGTAGTACCTGCCTGTGACCCCAGGACTCTGGGAGTGGAGCCAAAGGATCAGGAGTTTAAGGTAATCCTCAGCCACATAGCAAGTTTGAGAACAGTCTGAACTGCATGACAACCCCTAAAAAAAGAACAACCTCAATAGCTTAAAAAAAAATAAAGATTTATTTAATGTTTACGAATGACCGCTTTGCCAGCATGTGTGTGTATCTGTACCACGTGCATGCCCAGAGGATGTCTGTTGGATCACCTGGAACTTGACTTCCAGAGGGTTGTGAGCTACCATATGTATAATAAACACTGAGCCCAGGTCCTCAAGAGTGACAGGTTTCTTAAGTGCTAAGCCATCTCTCCAGACTTCTCCTTTGCCCTCCAAACTATTTCAAACTCAGCTCGTTTTTAATTAGTACTGCCTCTAGGGGGCAGTGTAATGCAAGTATAGCATTCCACTTTGGGCCTGCTAAGCTATAAAGTCCTCAAGCCCGGTTTCTTTTCTTTGTGGTGTTTTCTCACGTATACGAACTCCATACCTAATTCTATCAGCTTATTTATAGACATGAATTGTTCGTAGTGGTTGAGAGCTAGAACTTGAGTTTTCAGTTGCCCGCTAGGTGTAAGCAGGTAGGAAGAAGACCTAGATACTAGGAACTCGGGTGTTAGGTGATGCATCTTCCCCTCGATTTTATTGCCTGAATTTTCCTCCCATTTCTCAAAAGTAGGAAATAAAGAATGAGAGGATGGCTCAGTCAGTAAGGGGCCTGCGTTGCAAGTGCAGACACCTGAGTTCAGTCCCCAGACCCCACATTTAAGAAGCTAGCCATGGCGGAACACGTTTCCAACCTGGAATCCAGTGTTGGGGTGGGGGTTAAAACAGAGTCCTGGAGTTTGCTGGCTGATGAGGCTAGTATAACTGGCCAGTGTCTCAAAAATCAAGGTGGACGGTGCCTGGGAAACAACACCTGAGGTTGACCTCTGGCCACATGAACACCTATGCGCGCGCGCGCGCGCGCGCGCACACACACACACACACACACACACACACACACACACACACACACGAGAGAGAGAGAGAGAGAGAGAGAGAGAGAGAGAGAGAGAGAGAGAGAGGAAGGAAGGAGGAGTCTCCCAGTGTTAGGAAGTCCCTTTAAAAGCACTCTCACATGCTGATGCACAGGTGTACAAGCAGGTATCTCTCATGCTGATGCACAGGTGTGCACAGGTATCTCTCATGATGATGCACAGGTGTGCACAGGCATCTCTCACATGCTGATGCACAGATATGCACGGGTATCTCTCCTGTGTGATACACAGGTGTGCACACAGGCATCTCTCATGTGCTGATGTACAGGTGTGCACAGGTATCTGTCATGTGCTGGTACACAGGTGTGCACAGATACCTCTCATGTGCTGATGCACAGATATGCACAGGTATCTCTCACATGCTGATGCACAGGTGTGCACAGGCATGTCTATGTGTCCTAGGACACTGAAGGCCAGGAGAGCCGAGAAAACCGAATAATGACAAGTATCTTTCCAGAAGCTTTCCCTTTAAATTACAGAAGCAGGAAAAACTCTCCCCCATGGGGGCTGGAGGAAAACAGCAAAGAATTATCTGGGATTTGGACAAATGCAAGGTTGAGTGGTGTGGTGACCCACACACACACCTTTCATTCAGCACTCAGGAGGCAGGGGCAGGAGGAACTGGATTTCTGTGAGTCTGAGGTCAACCAGGGCTACATAGTGAGACCCTGTCTTAAAAAGTTAAATACATAAATAAACAAAGAAACAGACAAACAAAAGGAGTTGAGTGAAAGAAAACTAAGAGGCAGGAAGCACAGCTTAGAAGAAGCATTGGAGAAACCAGGACTGTCAATCATGTGGGCCTGTTTTCGTCAATGGAAGAAAATGGAGGACGCCTCGTCACCTGGAATGCCAGAGAGAAAAGTGTCCTCCCAACCTGGTGGCCACTCGCTATTCTATGAGCCAGCCTTCCTGAATCCCCCACTAGCCTGAGCATTGTGTAGGCCCTCCCTAACCCTGAGCTTTGTCTCTCAAGGGAAAAGAACCCATCCCTATGAAAGAGGCGCCGTGAATTTTGCATCCTCCAGTGACAGAATCCATCCTTACGCTTATCACAGATCCGTCTCTAGGCCCTAGCTCTGAGCTCTGCTTAGCAGCCAATAGAATTGTAAAGGTAACTGGTCACAAGTTCTACTATGTTTTAATGTATGAGGAAAATAGACCGCGGGGTCAGTCCCTGGATGACCTGACCCAGTGTCCCCAGCTTTCATTCTTACCTCTCTTTGGTCTGCTTTCCTGCCAGTGATGATGCCCACAGGAACCCCTTCACGCTACAAGACCTGTTCATCTCACCAAGCAGGGGACAGGAAACTGCCCAGAGAAGCAACCCACAGAGTATGGGCCGATATTCTCATGAATAATTGACTTCCCCATAAAATAGTCATTTTTTAATTTTCCTCCACACTATTATTGCTAAGGATTTGACACCAAATAGCTTGGTAGAGCTTGTTGGTGGTTTTTTTTTTTTTTTTTTTTTTTGGTTTTTCGAGACAGGCTTTCTCTGTGTAGCTTTGCGCCTTTCCTGGAACTCACTTGGTAGCCCAGGCTGGCCTCGAACTCACAGAGATCCACCTGGCTCTGCCTCCCGAGTGCTGGGATTAAAGGCGTGCGCCACCACCGCCCGGCTTGTTGGTGGTTTTTAATTAAGTCAAAAATGCTGGAACTCTTCTTACCTCGATTCTTCGGCTACTGTATCTCATGTCAGAAGTAGGAAATTCTACAAGAAAAAACAAACAAATATCGGGTGTTCTTAGTAGTAAGGTGAAAAGTCTGTGGATGGAGCCATGTAGATGCTAAGGTATGTGGGGAAGGGTTTCAAAATATGTTTTTCCCCGTGCAGTGTCCATAGGGGTGTGGAATGTTTCCAGAAAACCTCAGGCCAAAGCCACCAGGAGGGATTGTTGTTGTGGGTTTGTTTGGTTGGTTCATTTGTTTTTGAGACCGGGTCTCAGGTGGGCTGGCCTTGAACTCCCTAGGTAGCCAAGGATGACCTTGAGTGTTCGGATTATGGGTATGTGTTATGCCCAGTTCGGTACTGGGAACGAAACCCAGGCTTCATGCATGCTAGGCAAGCACTCTACCAAATAAGACATGCCCAGCTCCTACACTAGCTTTTTTTCCCCCTCCCCAATGAAATACTCTTCCCTGAAACACACATAGAATGCATCATCTCTTCTTCATTTGCATGCATGTGCATGTGTGTGAGCATTGTCATGTATGCGTGTGCATGTGTGCGCGCGCACCAGTGAAGGCATCCTTATTCCATGATGTGCTTGTAGACATCAGAGGACACACACAAACATTTACGCACCAATGACCTTGTGTTTTGAAACAAGACCTCTCACTGGCCTGGAACTTGTCAAGTTGGCTAGGCTGGCCGGCCAGGGAGCCCCAGAGATCCTCCTGAACCAGCCCCGCTCTGGGCTGTGATGACCAGCACGTGTGAGCATATTTGGCTTTTTTTTTTAAAAAAAAAAAAAAAAACAACAACACATGGGTTCTGGGGAATTGAACTCAGATCCTTGTGCTTGCAAGCACTTTACTGACAAGTTATCTCTCCAGCTCCACTGTAGAATTAAATGCTCAACTTAATATGTTTCCTCTTATTTGTGGTTTCTAGATTTTTTATAGAGATACATAAAATCATGTATGTTTATATTACATAAACAGAGAAGTAAAATTGTATCGGGTACAAAGGGGACTAACAGGAAGAGATGGGGAAAGGGAGAGCAGGGGATGGTGGGGGAAATGTGGTTACCGTAGAACAGATTCTCGTATGGAAACTTCAAATACATAAAGAAATGCTTGGCTCACCTTCAGATATCCTTTGCTGCACTCTCAGGTCATGGGGAACCTCCTCCCTGGCTGCAGACGTAGCAGTACCTGGATCTAAGCCAGGTCTTGATGGTAAGAGGGCCACATCTGCGCCACGGAGCTCCTCAGAACTTCCTTCCCTCTTCAGAAGGAGGCCCACCATCTCCACTGCATCCGGTGGAGAGACAGGGTGCACCTGTCCCCACTCCTGATGCGATGATGTCACCTGACTGAGAGGGGAGAGATGGAGGAAAACTCATCTGCTGGCATAGTTTGGATCTCGGATGGTCCCTCTGTGTTAAAAGTTTGGTCCCTACCATGTGATGGTGTTGGAGGAGGTGGCGTCTAACGGAAAGAAATTAATTCATGGGCAGAATGCCCTTGAAGGGGGTTTGGGTACTCCCCACCACTGCCCTGTTCTCTTTGTGGTCACCATGAAGGAAGTAGCTCTCCTCCATGGTGTGCTGCTGCCTGACCAAGAAGCAAAAAAAAAAACCCACCAAACCAAAGCAACTGTACTGGAATGGGCCTCTGAAACCAAAACAAGTTCCTCTTTGTTCGTTAGCTTGAATAGTCTGTCAGCTACGGAAACCTGCCTGGTCCATTCCCCACATCTTCCAGATCTGCAGTTCTCTGGTCAGTCTGACCTCACTGGGAAGTTGGAAAACGAGTTACCCAGTGGTCTGGCTGAGCTCCGGTGTGGAGTCCTAACAGGACAAGGTCCCTCCACGCTCTGGCCTGCCCCTGTCAGCCCTGCCCTCTGGATTCAGTCCTAATCCACTCTCTCTCCTTAGTCCCTGTTTCTAGGAACCCAAAAGTCAGAGACAAAAGGCCGGGACAGGAGCTGCACACTGTGTCTCAGAAGGCATAAATTAGCCAGCCCGGTCCTCCCCAAACTGTCTGCAGTGGGAAACCAGTTTCCATTTTTGTTAGTTTTTTTGTTTGTTTGTTTTTGGTTTTTTGTTTTTGATTTTTCGAGACAGGGTTTCTCTATGCTTTGCGCCTTTCCTGGAACTCACTCGGTATCCCAGGCTGGCCTCAAACTCACAAAGATCCACCTGCCTCTGCCTCCCGAGTGCTGGGATTGAAGGCGTGCGCCACCACCGCCCGGCCATTGTTAGTTATTTTTATTACTTTATTCTTACTTTTTGAGACAGGGTCTCATGTAATCCAAGCTAGTCCCAAGCTAGCTATGTCGCCAAGGATGACATCGAACTTCTAAACCTCCTGCCTTCACCTTCCAGGTGTTGGGATTACAGGCGTGCAGCACCACATCTGATTTACGCAGAGCTGGGGAACAAACTCAGGGCTTGGCGTAAGCTAGGAAAGCACCCTGCCAACTGAGCTCCGTCCGGGGCCCCGTTGTTTGGTTCTCTGAGAGAGCCGGGGTCTTGCTATTGCTGTCCTGTTATCTCCCAAGTCAGACGGCCCACATTTTCATCAGATCGGTGGTGCCTGCTTGGAAGAGGCCATCACTAGCCAGTTTACCAGGAGGGTCACGGAGCCTCACTTGGGAGTTCAGCCAATCCTCTGACCACTTGTATGCCATGCTGCCCTGATTGCACGGGATCTCGGGAGTTGTCTAAAGGCTGGGCAAGGTTAACTCCAGAGGGCTCTAGCTACCTGACTATGGGGAAGCCAACATCTATACTGCTTGAAGACTTTCCTGCGTGGCTGCTCTGGGTTCCCATGCTCCTGGAAACCCCTCACCCATGCTCTGTAAGTAAACTCCCTGAACTCTTGTGGAGTTATACTTTAGTTTGTCTGTTGTGGGAGCCCTATAAGGAGAAGGTAGACATTGTTTACATCTCCCCAGGGAAGGAAATTTCCCAACAGTGCTGGCTGGCCTGGAACTTGATGTGTAAACCAGGCTGACCTTAAACTTGTAGCCATCTTCCTACCTCTGGCTCCTGAATTCTAAGTGCTGGAAGGACCCACCTTAAAACCTTCCAATTCATTGCAGAGTGATAACTTTGTCAACTATAATGAAAACTAGTGCAGAATGCAAAAAAAAAAAAAAAAAATCAAAAACATGCAGAAAACAGGTTCCATTTTTTTCAACATCTCATCAATGGACATAGATTGTGTTATCAAATTACAACCTTTCAGTGTTTATACTCATGTTTTGTATTAACATTATCTTGTGCTGGTCACGGGGCTACAGAACCACATTTGGGAACCCATTTTTCTGGAGCACTGTAGGTATGCCATGGCCCTGGAGTTAAATCAGACCTTCAGTCTTGTGGTAGTTTGAATAGGTCTGGCTCCCATAGACTCATGTGTTTGAATGCTTGACCTATTAGGAATAGTGGCACTGTTAGGAGGTGTGGCCTTGTTGGAGGAAGTGTGTCACTGTGGAGGCCAGCTTTGAGGTGTCATATATGCCAAAGCCATGCCCAGTGAGATAGTTCACTTCCTGTTGCCTGCAAATCAAGATGTAGAGCTTTCAGCTCCTTCTCCAGCACCATGTCTGCCTGTATGCCACCCACCATGATGATAATGGACTAGATGTCTGAAACTGTAAGGTAGCCCCAATTAAATGTTTTCCTTTGTAAGAGTTGCTGTGGTCATGTTGTTTCTTCACAGCAATAGAAACCCTAACTAAGGCAAGCCTGTTTCTATAGTGTGTGTGTGTGTGTGTGTGTGTGTGTGTGTGTGTGTGTGTGTGTGTGTGTTGTACTACTCTGTATGCACTGATGTAGAGGCCAATGGAGGTCACTGGGTGTCCCGCCCTGACCTTCTTTCCTTATTCCCTCAAGACAAGGGCTTTCACTAAAACCCGAAGCAAGGCTGGCAGCCAGCAAGTCCCAGCAATCCTCCTGTCTCTGCTTCCCCAGTGCTGAGGTTATAGGTACACATACACCCATGCCAAGCTTTTTACATGGATGCTGGGGATTTGAACTCTGATCCTCATGCTTGCGCAGCAAGTGTCCTTCAACCTGAGCTCCATCATTACAACAGACATCACCTATAATGTCTGTTTATTATCCAGCCCCTCTTCATAGCATCCATTGCCACACAACTCTCCTATCTTCTGCTTAAATTACAATCCAGTACCTGGGAAGATTTCCCTTACTTGATTTCTTTCAAATCTTCTTGGCTGGTTTCTTGGGGAGGATCTGGTGGAAATGTCACTATAATCTCGACACCTGTAAAAAGTCATAACAGGAGGAGAAGAAAGCAAGAACACTCCATGGGTGAGGGAGAAGCACAGACTATTTAGATAAGTCTATTTTTTTTTTTTTTTGAGGAGGGGGTGTTTCTCTGTGTAACAGCTCTGACTGTCCTGGAACTCACTCTGTAGACCAGGCTGGCCTTGAACTCACAGAGATCCACCTGTGTCTGCCTTCTGGAGTGCTAGGATTAAAGTCATGTGCCACCACCACCCGGTGATAAGTCTATTCTGAATGGTTATAGAGTAAGTGTTAGCTGGGGATTGAGTTTAGCCGTTTTCTCCATCATATGACATGTTGTGTTGAGTGTACCCCCTCTCCAGCCCATGGCCTTGTGTAGCTATGGACAGCAGTGACTGTGGCCCTGAACACCAAATACTTGATTAAAGTATCATGAAAGTGTGTGTGTGTGTGTGTGTGTGTGTGTGTGTGTGTGTGTGTGTGTGTGTATAGCTACAAGAGCACTATTGTCGAGTGTGAACTTTGGAGATGACAATGTCATGTCACAATATCAAGGTGGGTTTTAGGATCATTTTCAGATGCAGGGTGGGATGGCTTAGAATCTGAGACCATGTTCAATGAGCTAAGTTTAATGTTTGGGACCTACATGGCGGACTGACTCTGGCAAGTTGTCCTTTGACCTCCATAAATGGGCTGACATAGGTGTATATCTACACACATAAACACACACACACACACACACACACACACACACACACACACACACACACACACACAATTAAAATGGAATTTAAAATGTTTAAAACCTTTCAGATGGAAAGGACAGTCTTTGAATAGTGCCCTGGGTGGAGACAACTCTGTCCTCTGTAAGTGTAACTGATGATACCTGTCTCACAGACTATCTATATTAACTGAAACTGATCAACTGTGAGGAGAAATTTTGTCAGATCATTGATTCTTTGACTTATTAAGGTTTAAAAGCTCGGTGGAGAGAATGGAGAAATTTCACATCGCCTGTATAAAAACCAAAAACATTACAAATCCATCTGAAAAGAGACCAGCATTTCAAATAGCAAGGTGTCCCAAAGTCGAACAAAATAAATAAGACATTTAACATCACACCCCCACCAAAAGTGTTTCAGGAAATGTTGGGCTTCTGAGAATTTGGCTTTAAAGTTTATGGAAGCCACAGGCTGGGGCTGGAGAGATGGCTCAGGGGTTAAGAGCACTGGCTGACCTTCCAGAGGACCTGGGTTCAATTCCCAGCACCCACATGGTGGTTCAGAACGGTCTGTAATTCTGGTTCCAGGGGATGTGACACCCTCACTCCAATGCACATAAAATAATAATTGAATAATTTATATTTTAAAAAAGTCAAAAGCACTCTGAGCACAGGACTCTTCCAAGGGAGACCTGAGTTCATTTATTTTAATCCATTTTTCCAGGTTTGATGCTGTTCATTATTTTAACTGTTACTAAATTATACTCAGCCTGGAGAGAGCTGATAAGCAAGTCTAAGGAAGACAGGAGGTTGCTTGGGACAGGGAAGCAGGGCACAGAGGGCTGAGGAAAGTATATTTGGATCTGGAAATGAACAGATTCCTGGAGGTGGGAGGTGACCACTGCCTGAGCTGGAGTGGACTCAACTACGGAAGAGCCAGGGGTAGGTGGCCCGTATGGGCGAGGGACAAGTTGCCAAGACTGATTCAGAAAAAAGGATATGGCTGAACGATGGGCGGTTTTTATTCTCTCTCTCTCTGAATGTGTGTGTTCATGTATGTGAACATATGCATGAAGCAAGAGTGGCATTCTTTGTTTTTGTTTTTTGGGTCTCTCACTGGCCTGAAACTCAGAACATAGGTTAGGGCCCTGGGGTCACACAAGCACACACCACCACACCCCGAATTTTTTATGTGGGCTCTGAAGATCAAACTCAGGGCCTTATATTTGCAAAGCAAGCGCTTTATCCAGCGACCAGTCCTCCAGTTCCAGTTTTTATTTTCTTCTTTTGTCTGTGCTTTCTCTTTCTTTCTTTCTTTCTTTCTTTCTTTTCTTTCTTTCTTTCTTTCTTTCTTTCTTTCTTTCTCTGTCTCTGTCTCTCTCTCTCTCTCTCTCTCTCTCTCTCTCTCTCTCTCTCTCTTTCTTTCTTTCTTTCGTTTTCCAGACAGGGTTCAGGGTTTCTCTGTGTAACTTTGGAGCCTGTCGTAGAACTCACTCTGTAGACCAGGCTGGCCTCGAACTCACAGAGCACCTGCTTCTGCCTCCTGAGTGCTGGGATTAAAAGTGTGAGCTACCACTGCCCAGTGTGTCTGTGTTTTCCAATTGCACCACACACTTCTGAAATTCTGAGAGAACCCCAGACATCAGTGCTATCTTTAGGGACAAGTCGTGGATGGAAGTAGTTACCTTCTGTCCTGCATGGCCAGTCTTCACCCCTGGGAGCTCCTTCTTCACCATCCGGTATTGACAGGCTGTAGTCATCCTCAAGGCCAAAGTCCTGTAAGATCACAGAATGAAAGCCAGTGAGGCTATGGACAGATGCTCAGTAAAACAGTCACCACACAATCACGAGGACCTGAGTTCAGTATCTGGAATCCACGTTAAAGTGCCTGGTGTTAACCAGGCGGTGGTGGCACATGCCTTTAATCCCAGCACAGTCAGGTGGATTTCTGTGAGTTCTAGGCCAGCCTGGTCTACAGAGCAAGTTCCAGGACAGCCAGGGTTGTTACACAGAGGAACTCTGTCTTGGGAAAAAGGAGGAGGAGGAGGAGGAGGAGGAGGAGGAGGAGGAGGAGGAGGAGGAGGAGGAGGAAAACCTGGTGGTGTGGCACACATTTGCAATCCCAGTGCTGGGAGCCAGAAGCATGTGGATACCTGGGGCCAGCCAGCCTGGCTGAATCAGAGCACTCCAGGTACAAGCAAGAGATCCTATCTTAAAAAAAACCATGATGGGTCGGCTCCTGAGGAACCATAATCAAGGATGACCTCTGGCCTCCACATGCATGCACACATACACATGCGTGTGCACATACACATAATTTTTTTTGTTTTTAATTTAAACATTAAAACAGTAATTCAACAACTGTTTTTTGGGCAGGGTGAATGCTGACTTTCCAAGGCTAAAGTTGGGCACCGTAGATTCCTTCACAATCGGGTAAAGTATTTAGGACTAAAACAACAAGGAAGGTTCAGATGTGATTAACTGCTTAATGAAAACCGAAGATCAAAGTCGAAACGCAGCGCAGAGGCCCACAGTATTTTCTACTTTGTGGATTTAGCATCCCGGCTGCTAAGCTGCCAGGAGTCCCAGGGCAAGGGGAAGTGGAAAGAATGCTTCAGCCACAGTCACAGGGGCACAACCCCAGGGGAACAAAGCCGTTTTCACGGCTCTCCCCTGGGGCATTGCAGAAGAAATCCCTGCCCTGTGGAAGCTGCAGATAGAACCCCGGACGGAAGCAGGCAGCAAATCGGCTTACAGTTTTCACCAGAACCCCTTTCTGACCTGATTGATCGTGGCGTGCAACTTCTCAAACTTCCTCTGGCCTGCTAGAAAATAATCCTTAGGTTTGAAAGCCAACTTGATTTATAAAAAGCACTTAGAACTCTTTAAAGGGAAATGTATTTCTTAGTATGATAGAAGTCGTCGTGTTTTAAAATGTATTTTTACTGAACTTAATTTGTGTGTGTGTGTGTGTGTGTGTGTGTGTGTGTGTGTGTGTGTGTGTGTGAGTTCACATGCTTGTGGCATAGAACACATGTGGAGACCAGAAGACAGTCCGTGGGATTCCGTTTTCTACTTGTACCACATGGGTCCCAGGAACTGAACTCAGGTAGCCAAGGTTGGTGGTAGGCACCTTTCTTTTTCTTTCTTTCTTTCTTTCTTTCTTTCTTTCTTTCTTTCTTTCTTTCTTTCTTTCTTTCAATATTTTATTTTACGTGTATTGGTGTTTTGTCTGCATTCATGTCTGTGTGAGGGTGTCGTATCCCCTGGAACTGGAGTTGCAGACAGTTGTGAGCTGCCATGTAGGTGCTGGGAACTGAATCTGGGTCCTTTGCAAATGCAGTGCACATTTTTTTTTTTTTTTTTTTTTTTTTTTTTTGGTTTTTCGAGACAAGGTTTCTCTGTGTAGCTTTGCGCCTTTCCTGGAACTTGCTCTGTAGACCAGGCTGGCCTCGAACTCACAAAGATCCGACTGCCTCTGCCTCCCGAGTGCTGGGATTAAAGGCATGCGCCACCACCACCCGGTTTGCAGGGCACACTCTTAACTGCTGGTGTGCCTCTCCATCTCCTGTTTTTTCTTTTTAATATTTTCCTTTAGCCTGTTTCTTTACGTGGGTCCTTGCTGTGGAACAATCCTTTTCTACACTACGAATATGTATTACTCGTATTTGCTAATAAAAAGTGGATTGGCCAACAGTTGGGCAGGAAAAGATTGAGAGTCAGACAAGGAGAATGCTGGGAAGAAGGGCGGAGTCAGAGAGTCACGGGCAAAGGCAGAGAAGCAAGATGAGAATGCCGTACTGAGAGAAGGTACCAAGACGTGTGGCTAAACATAGAAGAATTATGGGTTAACTTAAGTATAAGAGTTAACTAGTAATAAGCCTGAGATATTGGCTGAGCAGTTATAATTTTATTCAGCCTCTGAGTCGGTTATTTAGGAACTGGCAGACAGGACAGGAAATGTCCATTTACAGGTCCTCTTACCTCACTGCTGCTGACACTCTGCAAGATGATGTTTTCAGTTTTGGAAACTGTCATATCCACTGGAGAAGAGCTTGTCTCATGACCAATGTCAAGTAGTGACTCCGCATGTCTTTCTATCAAAAAGAAACAACATGTGCTTTGGTAATATTCAACAGTCTCAGAGGAAGATCTGTCTCTAGGTTTAATCAGGTCCATTTAGTTAGGTTTTCCTGAAAGGTTGATCAGGAATTCTGATGAAACTTTAGGTGATAATTTTCACAGGAAAAAAAAAAAAAAAAAGGCAAGAGCCAGGCTGGGGAGACGGCCCGGAGACAAGACACTTGCTACACAGACATGAGGATCACAGTCCAGACCCCCAGAATCCATGCGAAAGCCAGGCAGGTGGAGTGAATGCCTGTGACCTGAGCACTCAGGAGGCCGGGTGGAGTGGGGCCCCCAGGTCAAGGTGCACACCCAGACGAGCAGAAGCGGTATGTTCCGGGTTTAGTGAGGGAACCTGCCTCAGTAAATAAAGTGGAACGTAATGGAGGAAGAGGCCTGATGTCAACCTCTGGCATGTGTGTGAGCGAGTGCGTGCGCGCGCGCGCGCGCACACACACACACAGCATACATACTGTGTATGTGCAAGAAAGAGTCAGATGTTGCCTCCACATAATACATCAGCTCATTCTTAGGGACTTCATCCTGTCAGCCACACCCTCTGTGAGGTGCTGGGACCTGGGGAGGAGCTTTTCAACCATCAGAGCCCTCAACAGGTACCTCAGGGTTGGTTGGAGAGCCCTTGTCTCCCAGGATGCTGCAGAAAGAGGAAGGATGTTTACCCTTCACCTTTCGCTAAAGATGAACCCTGAATGGACTCCTGTGGGTGGGTGGGTGGGAGAAAACCTCTCTATTCTCTTCCAAATCGATTTGCTAGCAATTCTGAAGGCTGTGCTGGCTGATAACTGGCCTTTTTGCTCTCTTGAGTTGCCCTGGAAGAGTCTCATGGAGTGAGGGTGATCTCCCCACGGTATGATAGCAAGAGAAGTCAAAGTGAAATGTAATACGGGGATTTGTGAAGGCCATGCAGTCATTTAAATGCCTCAAACTAGGCCTTGGGAGATGACTCATTTGACTAAGTGCTTTCCTGCAACCTAAGGAGCTGAGTTCAATCAATCCTCAACACCTGAATTTAAAAGAAGGGCTGGAGAGATGGCTCCGTGGTTAAGAGCACTAGCTGCTCTTCCAGAGGACCTGGGCTTGATTCCTAGCACCTACATGGTAACTCACAACTGTCTGTAACTCCAGTCCCAGAAGATCTATGTCCCTCCTTTTGCCTCGATTGGCGCTAGGCACATATGTAGTAAACAGACATACAGGCAGGCAAAAACATCCACACACATAAAATTAAAATAAATACATTTCAAAATAGAAAAGGGAGCCAGGCGTGGTGGTGTGGATTTGTAATCCCGGTGCTGGGGAGGTGGAGACAAGTGGATCCCTGGGGCTCACTAGCCAGTCAGCTTAGCTAAATAAGCCAGTCCTAGGAAAAAGCTAGAGATACTAGTTTAAAAAAAAAAAGCTATGGGGTCTGGAGAGATGGTTTATCAGCAGACACACACTCATATGCATAAATTAATAAATTAATTACTTTTAAAAAGCCAAAAAACAAGATACAGCATCCTTAGAAAAACATTGGAGGTTGACCTCTGACCCCCCCACAAATATATGAGAGTGTGGGACAAGACTACTTTGTAGTCTTTACAGCATTAGTCCTGTGCTTCAGAAGTCACTGCTCAATTAAGAGTCACTGGTTTGATTTATTTAAATGAGTGGGGTGTGATGGCACACACCTTTGGTTCACAATACTTGGAAGACAGAGGAGGGCAGATCTCTCTAAGTTCAAGGCCAGCTTGCTCTATATAGTGAGTTCTAGGCCAGCCAGGTATATATAGGTGTGATCCTGTCTCAAACAAACAAATGGAGCTATTCAACAGATGTAAGACAGAAAGATAGACTTCAAACAGGACTTTCAAACTGGGGGGGGATGTGCATCTAGAAGGAAATATTGACCTGGTTTGGGCATAGAATTCATCAGGATGTCCAATAACTGCGGCTTCCTCCAACTTTCAATTTGTGACACATAATGTATTGCGGACTTGCCACTGAAGTCACAAAGCTTAGGATCTCTGGGGAGAATGGAAGAAGCATCAAAGATTATTAGGTTAGATCTGTTAAGACGTAAAAACACTGACATCAAATAAGCAAAAAACTTAAGTTAGGGATATAATAATGATTTTAAAACACATGCGCTAGAGCGTGACCACTTCTCAAAATTTTAAACAAGAGGGCTAGTGATATATCTCAATTGGTAGAGTGCTTGCCTAATGTCTTAGTTAGGGCTTCTATTGCTGTAAAGAGACACCATGATCACAGCAACTCTTACAAAGGAAAACATTTAATTGGGGTGGCTTGTAGTTTCAAAGGTTTAGTCCATTATCATCATGGCATGCAGGTAGATATGGTGCTGGAAAAGGAGCTGAGAGTTCTATATCTTGATCTGTAGGCAACATGAAGTGAATTGAACTAGGCATAGCTTGAGCATAGGAGACCTCAAAGCCTGCCCCCACAGAGACACACTTCCTCCAAGAAGGCCACACCTACTAATAGTGCCACTCCCTATGAGCTTATGGGGGCCAATTACAAGCAAACTACCACACCTAATATGCACAGAATTCCTGTGTTCCATTCCTAATGCTGAAGTAGCAAGGCGTGGTAGCTCATGCCTACCATTTTAGGCTGGCCTCAAACTCGGCAGTGGAGCTGAGAGCGACCTTAAACTTCTGATCCTGCCTCTACTTCCCACGCGCTGAGATAACACATGCATACCACCACATCTGGCTGCTGTAGTGGAGACTGAACCCAGTACTCTACCAACTGAGTTACCTCTCCAGTGCCCAAAGAGCAATTATCTAAACCGATAAAGAGCTAGATATCTTAAGAATAATGGTTGATTTAAGTATTAGTCCATTCCTCAAAATTACAATGAAGTCCCTTTTATAATGATACAAAAAAGTCATATATATATATATATATATATATATATATATATATATATATATGAAACAATCCACACATCTAAGTTTACACGTAGTTTTGGCAAATTACAGAGGAAGCGTTGTCTCTCTGCTGATGTTGACTGATCACCCGTACTCACGCGTGATGCCTGAGGAGCTCGGCTAGAACTTCGGCAGGCTTGTAGACTGTTAATACATCCAGACTCTCAAATAGGTCCACATCTCTCACAGCCAGCATCAGAGGGGTCAGGCCATGCAGGTTTGGGAAGTTTATATCCAGGAACTCTTCGGATGCCTTTAACAACAAGAGTTTGGGTTTCTGCTGTGTTCTTACTATACGGCTACTGAAACCAATCTTTGCACTGTCATTGCTTGACCAATTTCTCATTTTAACTTTTTTTCCCCTGGAGTAGGCATTGCACCTCAGCCTTAACTTCAATAGATTAACCCCTCACCATATGGAGGCATTTTGTTTATAGTTTATATAGAATGCATTTTGTGTATATTTTATATAGAATGCCAGGGTTTCCCCTCCTGTGTGTTTTCATCTTGCTATTTCATGGTCCATGATGCCAGCTGAGGTTGTCAGTACAATGATACAAACTGATGGGATGGGAGCAGATTATTCTGTTACTGTCTGGGTCTCTGAACTGCACATCAAACCTAGAGCTAATGTCTTCACACTTGTTTAACCTGCCTGCAAGATTCACAATGATTTTCGTAGCTCTGGGATCACTGATGATTTCAAATTTGCCTATGTAGCCATGCTTTACCATCATAGTTAGGAATGGGACGATGATTTCTGAGCATAGCCTGAAAAAGCCCCGGAGTTTGTCTCTCTTCTAAGCATTGTTGATGCCCATGAGAGCATCGGCCGCCTGAAAACTCCCCGTTGATGCCCTTGAGAGCATTGGCCGGAACATTCATTTACACCCCGAGGATGGCACAGGATGATCTCAGAGTTTGTTTTGTTTTATTTTAATTTATTTATTTATGTTTTTTTTTGTTTTATGTGCATCAGCGTTTTGCTATGGGTGTCATGTCCCCCGTAACTGGAGTTACAGACAGTTGTGAGCCGCCATATGGGTGCTGGGAATTGAACCCAGATCCTCTGGAAGAGCAGACAATGCTCTCAACCACTGAGCCATCTCTCCAGCCCCATTTTGTTTTGTTTGCTTTTTACAAGGTCTCATGTAAAAAGTTCATGGCCTTGAACTTTCTATATAATTAAGGGTGGGTGACCTTGATTTCTTGATAATCCTGCTTCCAGCTCTGGGGTTACAGGTGTGTACCACCACACATGGTTTATGTGGTGCTGGAGGTTGAACCCAAAGCATCGTTAATGATAGGCAAGCACTCTACCAATTAAGCCACATCTGCAGCCTCCTCAATATACTGTTTCTTAGTACCTATCCTGAGGAGCTGACAAAGTGAAAGACCACAGCCCTGGGTTTCAATGTTGGTTCCCAAAGCTGACTATTTAACAAACGTGTAGGTTGTATCGGGGATGCCCTGTTAAGTGGTTGATTTAAAAGAATCTCCTTGATAGGGCTGTAGATATGACTCAGTCAGTCAAGGGCTTGCTGAATAAGTGTGAGGACTTGACTTCAATAACCTGGATCCACATAAAAAAAGGTAGGAGTGGCAGTGTGCACCCATGAGGCCAGTGCTGGGGAAGCTGTGACAGGTGGATCCTTGGGCCTCAATAATCAGCCTGAACAACCTACTTGACAAGCTCTGGACAAGTGAGAGACTGTCTTGAAAAAAAAGAAGAAAGAAGGAAAAGGAGAGAGAGAGAGAGAGAGAGAGAGAGAGAGAGAGAGAGAGAGAGAGCAATTGAGGAAACCCCCTGTGTTACCTGGCCTCCACCTGCACACATGTGCCCATATATGCACCTGAAGATGTACACATCCACACATCCACAAGTACACGAAGAAAAAAATAACCCTGATAAAATAAAGAAGGAGAAGTTAAAGGATAAATAATTTAGCGTTTTTTCATTTGGCACATACTTACACTCAAAAATAACTTGTTTATCTGAAATGTAAACTTAATGTGCTCACTTCTGTAGCTGGTATACCAAACGTAACTGGGTGTCCTGTAATTTTTATTTGCAAAATCTGATCGCCCTATTTTAAAATACCTTACTGTGTGTATGTATGATGTGTGTGTGTATGAATGCAGGTGTGCACATACCACCAGAGGACAACTTCAGTTGTTTTTTCCTTCCACTGTGGGTCCTGGACATAGAACGCCAGGTGACGGGCTTTCAGAGCAAGAGCTTTTACCCACTGCACCATCTGCTGACTCTAGCAACTCTATTTCCTGACCTTCTAAGTGGCACTGGACAGGCGACACACCAGTGTCTCCCTATAGGGTTGCTAGCATGACCGGTGACACAAACTGAAAACCACTTAGCAGTAGGACTTACACGGGGCAGCTGCTCCCTGAACATTGATGAATGAGTGAGTGATTTGCACTAGGAAAATGTGTCATGTAACTGCATGTATATAGTCAAAGCAGAAGTGACATATGATATGACCAGTTGCTTTAGTATAAGTAAAATTTGGGCTAGGAAAGTGGTTCACTTATTAAAATGCTTGCCTTACAAGGGTAAGGACCCAAGATCAGATCCCCAGCACCTTCAGGAAAAGCCCAGTGTGACAGTGTATGCCTATAATCCCAGTAGTGGGGAATCGGAGCCAGAAGGATCCCTGGAGCTCACTGGCCAGCTGGTCTAACCAAACTGGTGAGCTCCACGGTAAATGAGAGGCCTTGTCTCCAAAGACAGTAAGATGGGCATTAATTGATTAAAAAACAAAAATAACAACAACAACAAAAAAATCACCCAGTGTTGACATCTGAAAAGGAGAGAGAGAGAGAGAGAGAGAGAGAGGTTTAATTCAGATCATTAGAACTGAAAATCTCTTGGAAGACCAAAAACACAAACTGCTTGTTTTATAGACCAAAGTAACTTTCTAATTTTCACCTCTGTTTCGCTTTCTGCCATGGCAATATAGTCTTTACCTCAGCATCTCCAGGGGCAAAATGGAGATAATGATATTACCTCAGCAGGGTGCTATGGGAATTAGTTAATTTTTTTCCTCGGTCTCTGAGAAGAAGCTACCTCTTAGGTCAATGCTCATTACTATCTAGAGCCAATATGAGCGTTTTGAGCTGACAGTCGTATTACAACAACACATCAACTTAGCATCTCTTGATCAAGTTAGGGTTCACGTTCCAGGCAATAAATAGTTCCTTAAAGCTTGGTCATTGAACCTTCAGGGGTAAAAAAAAAAAAATAATGTGGTTATAAAAACAGAGATTTGGTTACAGTTACATACAACAAGACTACCATTAAGAAAAATGGATTACCTTTTGGAAATTTTTCTAAGCCTCAGCTCTGGAAATATAGCAATTTAGACTATCTAAGTACAACAAAAGCATGGGAAATGTCCTTTGGTTTTGTTACAATCGTCCTTGAACTCGACCTGGTTAGGATACCTTTAATTTCTTGATCTGTTTGTGTCTTTACCACAAGGGATTAGAAAAAACTATTTCCTAGCAGCAATATTGCTTTTCTTTCAGTTGGAAGATCACATGGGTCTTATAGCAGCATTGAAGGTCAATGTCATGAGTGAGAAATTTCTTTTTTTTTTTTTTTTTTTTGGTTTTTCGAGACAGGGTTTCTCTGTGTAGCTTTGTGCCTTTTCCTGGAACTCACTTGGTAGCCCAGGCTGGCCTCGAACTCACAGAGATCCGCCTGGCTCTGCCTCCCGAGTGCTGGGATTAAAGGCGTGCGCCACCACCGCCCGGCGAGTGAGAAATTTCTAATAATTGAAGTCCTTGGTTATGCATACAATTTTGCAAGGTGCTTTGGGGTGAAGTATCTAAATAAGAGTATCAGTTACCCCCAAAGAGAACATTTAATACACGTATTCTTGGGGCCAGGGAGATGGCTTAGTGGTTAAAAGCCCGTACCAGTCTTGCAGAGGACATGAGTTCTGTTCTCAGCACCCAGGCTGGGTTGCTCACAATCACCTGTAATTCCAGGTCCAAAGGATCCAATTCCCTGCTGGATTTCAGGGGCACACTGTACTCATGTGCCCAAATGCACACACAAACACCCACAATTAAAAACAAAATATATTAAATGTATTTTCAGGTTGGAGAGGCATCTCAGTTGGTAAAGTACTTGCCATGCACATATGAGGACCAAAATCTTATCCTCAGAGTGCACATAAAAATCCAGGCATGTGTTGTATAGTAGTTTCCTCTGAGATTAAAACCACCCATTTTAGCTGGGCGGTGGTGGCGCATGCCTTTAATCCCAGCACTCGGGAGGCAGAGGCAGGTGGATCTTTGTGAGTTCGAGGCCAGCCTGGTCTACAGAGCGAGATCCAGGAAAAGGTGCAAAGCTACACAGAGAAACCCTCTCTCAAAAAAACAAAAAAAAAACAAAAAAAAAAAACCACCCATCTTGGAGGGGAGCTCATTAAAACACAGGAAGTTAAAGGAAGGTAAAACTACAGGACATTCTATATGGAGGTCAAATATTCCATCTTTCAGGGAAGCTCATTAAGACAGGATGTAGACCACTCAAAATAGCTCCAGGAAGTTTCTGAAACTGACCAGATTTATTCCCCTAATGTCTACTGAGAGTCACCCTCCAGATCTGCAGTGTAGAAGAAGCAGAGCCAAGCTGAACTGCCTGAGAGAAACAGACAGCAGCCAGCCACCTCGAGGAGTTCAGACCAACTGAGCTAACTGCAAAGGATGTTCTCTCTAACTTGTTGAGCTGCCTGCAGGTTGTGCAGTGAGCTCCAAGTTTCCAGATTTCATGAGCTGTCACCCGTGCTGGGGTGGGCTTTGGTGTTGCAGCTGCTGTTGAGACCCTTATGCTCCTGGAGTGACCCCTCACCCATAGTCTTATAGGTAGGTGACTGCAATAAAACTCACTAGTTTACCAAGCTGGACTTTGGTGGTAGCCACACTTTGGTCTGTTTTCAGTTCCCTCTCTGGGGTGCATAGATGCCTGTTCACACCTCCCCGGGAATATTGTCACACAGCAGCATGATGTGGCATGCACTTTCAACCCCAGTGCTGGGGAGGTGAAGAGGAGCCCTGGCTCGCCAGCCTATCCTACTTGGTGAGATCCAGGAAAATGTGAGGCTGTCTCAAAAACAAACAAAAAATAAACAACAAAAAACCAAAGTGGATGGCACTAGAGGAATGATACCTATGGCTGCTCCCTGGCCTTCACATGCATATGCAGACATGTGCACACGAACACCACACACACACACACACAAATATATTCCCCTAAAGTTCTTTGGGCACAGCTAAATATTGTGCAATGTGTACGTTCTCTGATTCCCTTTTCAGGATAAAGATAATAATTGCCAGTGGCCCAAAGGGATCTAAACAGCAACTGTGCAAACGGCAGTGATATCCAGGGAACTGATCTGAGCAAGCTGACAGCGCTCCTCTGGGTCTTCCTGGGGCTCATCATTTCCCGGGGGGAACTACCTGACTTCTAGCTCATAGATAGAGGGGGGTAGAAATAGGTGGTTGCTCTTGTTTTCTATCTGTGTCCTGTCTGGCCCTATATCTTTCTGTCTCTCCTGCCTGAGACTTTCCGGGATTGCATTTGAAAATAACTTTCTCCTTCTTTGGAAGAAGTCTTGGGCGCCGAAGAACTGGCTCAGCAGTAAAGAGTGTTTGCTACTCTTTTCATGAGGACCAGAGTTCAGCTACGAAAACCCACAAGAGGCAGCTCACAACTGCCTGTAACTCCAGCTCCACGGGATCTGACATCCTCTTGTGGCCTCTGTGAGCACTCATATGCCTGTATTCACACACACACACACACACACACACACACACACACACACACACACACACGCACACACACACGCACACACTTATATATACACATGATTAAAAACAAAAATTAAAAAATTTAAATGTAAACACAAATACATTTTAAGAAAGAGTCCTGTATTGGGCATGTGAAGGCATTATCTGTCTTCTGTACATCTGTCCATCCCTGACCCAAGTAAACATCACTGTAACTAACCAGCAAGTGTCGAAGCTGCTCAAGATCGCCTTGCCACGAACTTCTTAGAAGCTGCATTTGGGGAGCTTGGATTCTCTTGCCGGCCAATAGCTGTCTCCGGATGCCACCATTAGCCACATGGACCGCAGTTTGATTGCTGTAATTACAGAGGGTGATATCCGCTCCCTTCTCCAGAAGAATCTCAACAACCTGTAAAACAGTAACATCCTTAAAACTCAAAAGATTTGTTTTTATTTTTAGCTTTAAAATGTTCATAATTATTATGTTGAGCATATTCCCCTCCCTGCCCAATTTTTTAAGTTGTTTTTTTTTTTCTCTTTTGAGATAAAGTCTCACTGTCACCCTGATTGGTCTGGAACTTGCTATTTAGATCAGGCTGGCCTCACGCTCAAAAAGGTTTGCATGCCTCTGCTTCCTGATTGTTAAGATTCAAGATGTGTGTCACCAAGCCTGGATTACAAAGTTATTTTTAATTTAATTAATGTGTGTGTCTGTGTGAGTGTGTCTCTGTGTGTATATGAATGTGTGTATGTGAGTGTGTCTATGTGTGTGCATGAGTATGTATGTGTGAGTGTGTGTGTCTGTGTATGAGTATGTATGTGTGAGTGTGTGAGTGTGAGTGTGTGTGTGTGTGTGTGTGTGTGTGTGTGTGTGTGAGAGAGAGAGAGAGAGAGAGAGAGAGAGAGAGAGAGAGAGAGAGAGAGAGAGAGAGAGAATATGTGGGTGGCCATGCAGGTCAGAAGAGGGAATCAGACCCCTTGGTTATTTATGAGCTGTCCAATGTGGATGCTGAGATGCCAACTTTGGTCTTTGTGACTGAGCAGCAAGTGCTCTTAACTGCTAAGCCATCTCTTTAGCTCCATCCCCAGAATGCTTCATATTTTTTGAGTGGCAGCTGTACCGTTAGGGATGGATAGAAGAGTAACTTTGATATGGCTCTCATTCCTGATAAAGAAAAGGCAGGTAAGAGTGGGAAAAAATGGAGGACTGCAGGCTGGGGGTGTAGCTCAGTGGTGGGAGCTCATGCCTAGCATCTGTGTGGTGGTCCCCAGCACCACCACAGCGAAGTATTTGAATGCAGGGAACTATTATTTAACTTTCTAAATGTGGAAACCAAATCTCTGTGATGGCTGGTGTGGTGGTGCACACCTTGAGTCCCAACACTTTGGGAGACAGAGGCAAGCAGATCTTTGAGGACAACCAGGGCTACATAGTGACACCCTGCCCCCCACCACCGCCAAAAAAAGCCAAAACCAACAACAAAAACAGCTCTATGATGGGGTGCTTTCTGAGAACTGTATTTTTAGACTAGAGATTTATAAATATTTTCTTCTGAGGACACATAAGCATTGAAATCTTTTTTTATTTTGAGACAGGATCAGGATCTTATGTAGTCCAGGCTGGCCTTGAGGACCCTGAACTTCTGACTCTCTTGCTCTACCTCCTGAGTGCTGGAATTTTAAGTGTGTGCCATGACGCCTGGTTGCTGTGGTGCTGGGACTCAAACCCAGGGCTTCATGCGTGCTAAGCTAACACTCTACCATGTGAGCCACAGCCACAGCTCCCAACATCCCAGCATTGAAGTCTTATAGTAGTTTATAATTTAGAAAATGAAATTCATATTATCTATCATCTACTTATCATCTGCTTACCTGGCATCAATCATCTATTATCTATCTATATACCTATCATCTCTAGCTGTCTGCCTATTGCCCACTTATCTATTTTTTATGTTCTATTTATTTATTTATTTATTATGTATACAGTGTTCTGCGTGCATGTATACCTGCAGGCCGGAAGAGGGCACCAGATCTCACTACAGATGGTTGTGAGCCACCATGTGGTTGCTGGGAATTGAACTCAGGATCTTTGGAAGAACAGCCAGTGCTCTTAACCACTGAGCCATCTCTCCAGCCCCTGTCTACTTATCTTTTTTTTTTTTTTGGTTTTTCAAGACAGGGTTTCTCTGTGTAGCTTTGCGCCTTTCCTGGAACTCACTTGGTAGCCCAGGCTGGCCTCGAACTCACAGAGATCCGCCTGTCTCTGCCTCCCGAGTGCTGGGATTAAAGGTGTGCGCCACCACCGCCCGGCCCTGTCTACTTATCTTAACCAATCTACCAATGCCCCCTTTCACCCCATGATCTAGCATTTATCTACATTTCTATTAGCTATCTATAGAGCAACAAATATTGGGCTTAGGGTCTTATGTTTGCTAGGCAAGTGCACTCTATTCCAGCTCAGGTTGGCTTATAAAGTCCTGAATGTTGCAAATATTTTTTATGTATCTTTGGAGAGTAAGTAAACTACCTTCAAATGCTGAAGTGATTAGTTTTCCAGCAGGTATGGAATAGGTGCCCAATGTGTGTCATGACTTGTCCTTCGTCTAAACCCTAAACAGTGAACCAGGTAACTACCCAGACTTCAAGCTACTCATAGTGTGGTGGGGTCACAGAGACAGATGAGAAAGCATCAGTGTGGTGAATGTAAAGATGAAGATGAGCACAGGAGACTGGAGTAGTGTCAATGAAGAAGACCACTGAGCTGTCTTTCAAAGTCCAGAGGACTTTAGCAGACAGTTCTCACAAAGGCAGAGGATGCAGCTCAGATGGAAGAATGCTTGCCTGGCATGCAGCAAGCCCTAGAATTTGTCCTAATATTGCAAAGACGGGGTGTGGTGACCCACACTTACAATCCCAGGGAGATAGAGGAAGGAGGATCAGAAGTTCAGGGTCATCTTTGGCTATAGCAAGCTCAGGCTAGCTTTGGTATGATAGGTAGTATTAATTATCTTTGTTTTTTAAGGTAGGGTTTCTCTGTGTAGTCCTGGCTGTCCTGGGACTCACTATACAAACCAGACTGGCCTTGAACTCGAGATCTACCTGCTTCTGCCTCCCAGATTCCAGGATTAAAGAAGTGAGCCACCCTGTTCAGTGGTAATATTAATGATCAACTTGATAGACTCTGGAACTACCTGGGAGACAGGCCGCTGGATATGCCCAAAGAGTTTTTGTTTTTTATGTCTACATTCTTTCTACTGAGCTATTAAAAGCTTAAAAAAATAATAAAAAGGCTGCAAGTCCCCCAAATCTCTCAGAAAACAGAAACTGAATGAGACAGTTCTGTCATAATAATCTTGACCCCCGAGCTAGGGTTTTGCAAGGCCTGGGAACAGGAATTTGTTGTGGAGGAACAGGAAGCTACCAAGCTTCAGAAAACCAAAGGCAAACCCTCCTTGCTTCCCACCAGACTCTTTTTTTCTCCCTCCCCACTGTACCTCTGATAGATTTTCCTCTGCCGCAGTAATGAGGGGTGTATTTCCAGTCTGTGGGTGCTGAAAGTCAAGGTTCCCGAGGACTGAATGGACTTCAGGAATACGGCCACAGATGCATTCCACATCACCCCTGGAAACCACGTCCAGGAAATCATGAATCAGTTTGTTTTTGTTCATCTTGCTGGTGTCGTATAACGACCTTAAAGAGAAAAATGGCTTAATGACACGAAAGCCAGCAAGACAGTGGGTGGTTCCAACGTAGCGTAGTCTGCCTTCATTGTTACATGGTTCCTTCTTTTATAAGGAAAAATGGGGGGGGGGTAGTTCAGTGGATAAAGCACTTGCTGCTCGGTGTGTTCAGATTCTCAGACCCACATAAAAGCTAAACAGGCTTGGCAGCCGCTTGTAATCCCAGCACTCAGGAGGTGATGGAGGATCCCCAGGACAAGCTATCTAGTGATGATAGCCAGACTTGGAGAGAGAGTCTGCCTCAGCAAAGTGGAGAATGCCTGAGTAAAATGCCCAGTATCAACTTTAGGCCTCTATATGTACACACACAAGCATGCATACCCACACACCGTGTACACACACACATGCACATGCATGCACACCATACACATATAGATGTAAAATGTAATCAATAGGGTCTGGGTAGATGGCTCAGTTGGTTAGATCACCTGCTCTGCAAGCACGAGGACCTGAGTTCAATTCTTTAGCACTCATGAAAAAAAAAGTTTGAGTTTGGTCCCTGGGACCCAGATGGTAGAAAAAGAGAATCGGACTCCCTAACTTCCACATGTGTGCTGTGGCACCCATTTACACACAGACACAAAGACATAGACATACATTCATACATATATAGACACACACACAGACACACCACACACATACATACACACTAAATGAAAATGTAATAAAAAATAAAAATATTGGAGCTGGAGAGATGCTCAGTGGTTAAGCATACTGGCTGCTCTATCAGAGGTCTTGAGTTAAATTCTCAGCAACCGCACAGCAGCTCACAAGTGTTTCTAACTGTAGTGCCATGAGATTTGATGCCCTCTTCTGGTGTGCAGACATTTATGCATACAGAACACCCATAGACATAAAATACACAAATAAATAAACCTTTTTTCGTTTGTTGGTTTTCAGAGATAAAGTTTCTCTGTGTAGCCCTGGCTGTCCTAGAACTTGCTCTGTAGACTAGGCTGGCCTCGAACTCATAGAGATCTGCCTGTCTCTGCCTCTCAAGTCCTGGTATTAAAGGTATGCCCCACCACTGCCCAGCTAATAAGTAAATCTTTAAAAATAAAATAATAAATTTACATAAGTAATAGTAATATGTCAGGCAGTGGTGGCACATGCCTTTAATCCCAGCACTCAGGAGGCAGAGGCAGGTAGATCTCTGTGAGTTCAAGGCCAGCGTAGTCTATAGAGCTAATGCCAGGACAGTCAGGGCTACACAGAGAAACCCTGTCTTGAATATATATATATATATATATATATATATATATATATGCATAACTTGCTACTTATTTTTAACACTTTGCTTTCAGGTACATCCACGTATTTGTGTGTAACCTCCAGTTGCTTATTACACATCTACTGTATTTTATTATTTCTTCTCTCTGTGATGGGCATCTAAATTGCCTCTAGTGTTCCACCCTGTAAACAACACTGTGATACTATCCCTCCTGGAGCCTGGTAATACATAGCCCAAAAGTCTGCTTGCACCTAATGTGTCAAAGACATTCAGTTTCACTAAAATGTGCCAGAACGTTTCCCAGAATGACCTCAGCAAGTAACACCACCACCAACGCTGGGGGTGTTCTTGGAGTTCTAACCTGGTTGACTGCGGTGACTTAGTCACCATACTAATCATTAGCATTTAATAAGGGTCCCGCTTGGAACTTCACTAAAGGTAGCAAGAACAGACCATATGTTCCAAATTGGACCACAGGAAAATTTCAAGGCAGTACACATACACACCCTAGCACATCATTTGGCAACTTGGATTTATCTTCATACGTTTGTTTTTCAAAATGCAATATCACTTCAAGGCTAGGAAATGCTTTCATAAACAGGATAATTACAGCCTGTCCTTCAAAAAAGCTAAAACCCATGTATTCAAATAACAACAAGGCAAGAAAGAGGTATTTACCCCATCGGATTTTTCATAGAGGAGAGCTAGAACCTCAAGAACCCAGCCATTTTTCTTCACGGTTGTTACCTAGCAATGAATGTTTTAGAGTCTGTGCTTTAACTATTGCTTGTAACCTCTTTGTGTGTTTGTTTCTCCACTAGGGCTTGTCTTTGCGGTTCAGGCTGGCCTAGGTTCCAGGCTTGGCTCCAAACTCTCCATCCTCCTGCCTCACACTCTTGGGTGCTGATATGGCATTGTGTACCATGGCACCTGGATCTTGCATAACCTTTAAAAGAGAAGTAGTAACTACTCCCTAATATACAAATAAATAATAAATTTAAAAAATGTGAATTTAGCTTCACTGTAAGTTATCCAGTCACTAGAAGACTGGCAATGTGATCACTATCTGGTGATCTATGTCACACTCAAAGATACCTAGAGAAAGACAATGGCCTGTCAAGGACACTCTGTAGTGTCTCCACACATCAGTCGCTCAGGTAACACGGACTAACTCACACTGCTTCTTGTGGTTGAATGTCATTTCCTCCTGTGACTTCCAGCCTGAACATTTCAGGTTTTTTTTTTCAATTTATAATATTTTTATATTTTACATACCAACCACAGATCCCCCCCCCCATCCCTCTTTCTGCTCCCTCCCAGCTTTCCCCCAAAACCATCCCTCCATCCCCTCCTCCAAAAGGGTAAGGCCTTCCATGGGGAGTCAGCTAAGCCTGGTACATTCAGTTGAGGCAGGACCAAGCCCCTCTCCCCTGCATCAAGGGTGAGCAAGGCTTCTGACCATAGGTAACGGGATCCTGAAAGTCAGCTCATGCACCACGGATAGATCCTGATCCCATTGCCAGGGGCCCCTCAAATAGACCAAGCTACACAACTGTCTCCCATATGAAGATGGCCTAGTCTGGTCCCATGCAGGTTCCACAGTTACAACATTTCAGTTTTAAGTTTCCCATGGAGCCGGGTGGTGGTGGCACACGCCTTTAATTCCAGCACTCGGGACAAAGCGAGCTCCAGGACAGCCAAGGCAAGGACAAAGAGAGTTCCGGGACAGCCAAGGCTACACAGAGAAACCATTCTGTCTCAAAAACAAAGCAAAAGTTTCTTATGGAGAAAACTTTTCTCCATTTATTTACAAGTATTTTTTGAGCAATGATTTTTTTTTAAGCAATAATGTTTTGTTCTATAGGGTTAAACTGGTAGGTGTATCTTCTATTGGATAACTGTCACTTCTGTTCTTAACTGTGTTATCAGTTTGTAAAGTCAAAACTTTTGTAACCAATCATTCACAGCACAGTGTTTCATGATGACATTTTTCATGCATTTATAATTTATTGTGATTGTGTTTGCTCCCTCACCCTCTTGTCTCCCTCCCATACCCACTGGCCCCCTTCCTCTTCCCAACTGATCTCTCTTCTATTCTCATGGCTTTTGTTGTCATTATTTTGTGGCCCAGTGAGTTTTGTTGGGTTGCTTTTGAGAGCATGGGCATTTTCCTAGTAAACCTTTCTGTTATATTCTACGTTTGGTTTGGATTATTATATAGAAAAGCTTAAAGCGACTGAAACTTGATTTTAAGGTTAATAAAATGTGCCCCAAAATATGTGTATACAATATTAAGTAGTTACAAAAAGTTCACAAATATTTAGGTGATCAAAGTATGAGATTATCTCTGCATGGAATTCAGTGGATGAAAGTGCTTTATATTAATAAACCTTTCTTGTCGTTACTAGTTTCCCCTGTGGTCTGGAGGCATTTCCATAAAGCACCGGAAGGGATCATTTGTAAAGTCAAAACTAGATTATTACAGCTCTAAGGATAAAATTATTCAAGCTTCAGACACAGCTTCTCCCGTCAGTTTACCTGATGTGCCTCCCCTGGGACACTCTTCCTGGAGGAAAACAAAAAGTTGCAACATTCGGTATTATCTAAAACAGGGTGAAAAAATGGAAACGTGGCTTACCTAGTGTGCTGAGGGCGTTTTGCTGAGGGACGCAATTGAAGGAGCACCCAGACCAGTAGCAGCCCAAATCATCCTACTTCTTCATGGCTCTGATTTCCGGACCAGCCATCACCCCTCAGTTCAGCTAGGTTTCCGTTGAAAAGCAGCATAGACTTAGGACCTTTGTCCTGATTCTGTTCCAGTGTTGTACAGTTCAAACACTTTATTATAAAAAAAAATTATTTAAAACTGGTTCTGGATGCACAAACCCTTTGGCTCAGTGCGAGGAGACTTGCTTAGTTTACAGGCTGTCGCCCAGGCAACCAGCTGCAGTGTGTTTAGCTTGGAGAATTAAACGCAGGACAGTCTCATGGAGGCAGGAAAACAAGTGTGGTACGAGCTTCTAAGCTGCTGTTGGAGTGGTTAGAACAGTTACATATCCATGGCTGACCCACTGCCATGATCTCTTTACTCAGTGAGATGTTCTCCAGAAGACGCATGCCTCTGTATCCCTGCTGTGTGCTGAAAGGTCCCTTTTCAAATCCAAGACAGGTCAGAGGGATAATATAAACTATACAAGCAGGGATGAAGATATTCTAACGAGGCATAGTACCTTTCTCTTTGACTATCAGACTATTGAAGCAATGAACCCCAAGAAATTGAAAGTCCCATGCTGGGAAAGGGCATGGCTGGAGCCTGGGGCCAGCCAGGGAGGAGCTTGTCTCCCAGGAAGTGATTACAATTTGAGACCACCTCGCAAGAGAGACTGGGGCCCAAACAATGGTGGGTCAGGACCAGGCAGGACCACATTTTCCCTAGGACTGCTTAGTCATATGTACCTCTCGCCCTTTATTTAGATGAAACTTCACACCAGGATCTCAGTGATGGATTTAGGTGGGAGTCATTAGACCTTTTTGTTACTCTTCTCAGCATGGCAACATTGACTAAACCTCCTTTCACGGCTTTTCATTGTTACTTGGCTATTTACATGGCCCATTGAGGATGGGTGGCCCAGCCTGACTTATTAGGGATTGCCAAGACTTAGGTTCTGAACCTGATGACGTTGGTGTGGGAGACCTGCTCCCCACCCAGGGTACTCTTAAGCAGGGAGAAGTGAGAAATATTTAGCTAGAAATATAGAGGATAGAAACACATGATAGCCTCGGGAAGGCCCAGGTCAAAACCCACCAGCCCCTTCTGTCTTTTCTAAAGGGCTATTTATAGAAATGCCAAGGGGTGGAGCAAAAGACCCTCCCCTCAGCACAGCCAAGTGCAGACCCTTCCAAACACCTAGTAACCACACACGTAGTCAGTCCATTCCCTTATGCAGCCCTGATGTGTAAAGCAAGCTCAGATCTCACTAGGAAACCTCTGTGGACCCCAACACGTTGGTAATAAGAATTCAATCCAATAGATTGTCCCTGGACTGGTGGTGTTCATTGACCCAAACTTGAGGAATCCTTTCATTAAGACACATTTATGCCGGGCGGTGGTGGCGCACGCCTTTAATCCCAGCACTCGGGAGGCAGAGCCAGGCGGATCTCTGTGAGTTCGAGGCCAGCCTGGGCTACCAAGTGAGTTCCAGGAAAGGCACAAAGCTACACAGAGAAACCCTGTCTCGAAAAACCAAAAAAAAAAGAGACACATTTATTCTTTCTCCTTCTCCTTTTCCTCCTCCTCCTCTTCGTTATTTGAGACAGGGTCTCACTTTGTCGCTCTGGCTGTCCTGTAACTCACTATATAGGCCAGGCTGGTCTCAAACTCACGGAGATTCACTTGCCTCTATTCCTGGTTGCTACATTTCTTGTCTAGAGAGGCTTGTATATATTCTAACACAAAGGCTTCAGCAGATTGGATGCATTTTTGTCTGACTCATAGACTACAACTAACCCAAAGTTGAGAGAGACCATGAAAACAAACATACTCATAAGGAACATACCAGAACATAAGACTAGCTGGCATTTGGAGCTCCTGGTCTTTCCTACTGTCCACCAAAGGGTGTGGAGGTCTCCTCTTTAAAGATGTGCTATTGTATATTTTCACTGAAATGAGGTGCAGCTGTGCATTCAAGAACCACTTCCAATGCCTTTGAGAACGTGAAGCTTAGGGCTGGAGAGAGGGCTTGGCAATCACAAGCACTTGTGTCTCTTACAGAGGACCTAGGTTCAGTTCCCAACTCCCTGGGTGGGTGGGTCATAACTTTAGTGGATCTGACACTTTCTTCTGGCTTCAGTGGGCACCTGTATAGAGGTGGCATACACTAACACAGATACACACATACACAAAAAATAATTATTTGTAAAAACAACAACAACAAAGCTTAGTTTCTATTGTGTGATTTTCTCTCCATCTATTCATACTCATCTTTCTAAAGGTTACATACGGAGTTTTGATCAATTTTTGTCAATGCTTGCTGTGTCTTTGACTGCCCTAAAATCTACTTTTATTAATTACAGTAGTTTTTGTTGTATTTGTTTTGTGGTTCTTTTAAATTTTCTTCAATCAAAACAACCATTCCCCGGGCGGTGGTAGCGCAAGCCTGCAGAGGCAGGCGGATCTCTGTGAGTTCGAGGCCAGCCTGGTCTACAGAACTAGTGCAGGACAGGCTCCAAAGCTACAGAGGAACCCTGTCTTGAAAAACCAAAAAAAAACAAACAAACAAAAAAAAACCAACCATTCAAGAAACACACCATCACACCATTATTCCAACTGTTTAGCTGAGGATTCGGAAGGTCAGCAAATGGGTTGCCAGACTACAAAAGTAAACACAGGGTAAGGTCTATCTCACACAGCTTAGGCTAGCCTCTACTTTGCTAGATAGCCTAGAATGGTCTTGAACTTTGAATCCTCCTGTCTCTACCTTCTCTAAGTGTTGGGATTACTAGTGTGGATCATTCTCCACCAGTAGGGGATGCTTAGGCTTGAAACCAAGGATTCACACACGCTAGGCAAACACTCTACCAAGTGAGCCACATCCCCAGCATGGGAATCATTTTCACATAAACAAAACCAGCAAGTACTGGTCACCTTTACTACAAAATATACAGCAGGAAATTCCTCACCATGGCAGGAAATGACATTAGTTCTAAAGTGGTATTTTAGAAGTTGAATTGATGGGATATGCTAAGAATATTGAAATTGGGAGACGTAGGAAGGTATTGAGGAAAACTTTCATTTGGGACTTAGCCAAATATGTAAATGGTTGTTGTCATTTACTGGCCAGAAATGGTAGGAGAAAGCTTGGGCTAAAACAAAAAGAGTTATTATGGACCTACTTAAGTTTGAGTTGCTTATTAATCTCCCAAGAGTTGATATTTAGTAAAGCAAATGGATCTGTAAAAGTTTATGGGACAATGGGTACTATGTAGGTGAGAGATAAAAAGTTGAGTCACTGGGGCAGCCTTGGGATGGATATCCCAGAGGACTTCCAGTGAGGATCCAATAATGATGGTGGACCAGAAACCAGAAGCCTTGAACTAGACCAGTGACTAACTGCAATGAACATTTGCAAGTAAAGCTGACTGGACAAAAGTGTGTGCTGTGTGACATACTGAGGCCCCCAACGCCACCAGGACGAGTGAAGAGGTGTTGGAGAGGCGGGAAGGATGGAGGAGTGAATAGGTCTTGTTTGTTTGGTTTGGTTTGTCTGTTTGTTTGCTTGTTTTGTTTTGTTTTTTAAAATTTTCTTTTGGGGGAGGCGCTGCAGGGTTGAGGGAGGATATGGGAGACTGGGAGGTGAGTAGAATTAGGGTGCGTGATGTGAAATTCCCAAAGAATCAATAAATTATGTTAAATATAAAAAAAGTTGAGTCACATATATATGCATGGCAAATGAGTTCAGTGACTGAATGAGATTAACCAAAGCGTATCTGAAGAGAAAAATGTGAGGTCGTTTTTCCGTTTATTTTTATTTTTATTGAGACAAAGTCTAATGTATTTCAGGTAGGCATCAAGCTTGATATTTAGCTGAATATATACTAAAGAGAAGTGTGTGTGTTGCACATGTGAAGGTCAGAAACTTGTGGGAGTCAGTTCTTGCCTTCTACCATGTAGGTCCCAGGGATCGAACTTAGGTCTCCAGGTTTGGTAGGAAATTCCTTTACATGATGATTTGTGTTCGTGTGTAAGTGCGAAGTATCCGTCTAAGTACTGAGCTATCAGATAAACAAGACAGGTCATATAAAGCCGTAAGTGGTCACGGAGTTAGATACCTGTAAATGCTATGAAGAAAATTTCAGCAAGGGAGGCTGAGAGTTGTGAGTCCGAGGGGTGGGGGGGTGGGGGGTGGGGGGGGTGGGGAGGCAGGCATTATCAGACTATGCTCATGGAAGATCTCCCTGAGAGGTGGCTTTGGGAGGGGGGGTGTTACTCGTTCTGCTTTTGAGATTGATTGATTTATTATGGTTGTGTGTGTGTGTGTGTGTGTGTGTGTGTGTGTGTGTGTGTGTGTGTGTGTGTGTGTGTATGAGTATGTGGGCGCATGAGTACGTCAGCAAGCGTGTGGAGGTCAGAGGATAACTTTTGGGCATCAATTCTCTCTTTCCGTGGTGGGATCCAGGGATCAAACTCAGATTCTCGGGTTTGCATGGCGAATGTTGAGCCCTATCACAAGCCCCCGAGAGATGACAGATCATCTCTCACTGCACAGGAAAGGCAGCAGCTGCCCTTTTGGTGGGTTGTGCGGCGAGTTCCAGGCTGCGTGTGCAGCTGGTACAGAGGCCCTGAAGCGTGTACGTGTTAAGTGCTCAACCTCAGGAAGGGGGCTGGGCAAAGGCGTCAGAACTGATGTAAGAAGGTGTACAGAGGCCAAATCTTCAAGGGCCCAATGGGAGCAGTAAGGAGTTTGCCTCTATTCCAAATGTAGAATTATAGCATGCCATATCACTCAGGGAGTAACGGGATCTAACTTGCTTCCTGGTTTGTTGTTTGTTTGTTGTTTGTTTGGTATTTGTTTATTTGTTTGTTTGGTTGGTTTTTGTGGTTGTGTGTAAAGGTAAGAGGACAACTTGCAGAAATTGGTTGTTTCTTCCACCATGTGGGTTCCGGGGATCTGGGGGGCGGGGAACCTCTGTAGTCAGGCTCGTTGTAAGTACTTCTAGCTGCTAAATCCACTCACTGGGCTGATTAGTAAAACTTGATACTATGTAAGATCTGTTTGTGTACGTGTGACTTGATAACATGATCCTCTGTATACACATACACACACACACACACACACACACACACACACACACACACACACACACACACGGAGGAGGGGGAGGAGGGCAGAACAAGACAC